TAAAAACAACAACAGAAATAGCAACAACAGCAGAGGGGCATCAGCATCGAACCCTCTGGCCATTGTACAATTTCTTTTCGGGTTGAACAAAATAATGAAAATAAACAAAACAAACAAAAACTATCTCCGTGCCAATTGAGGTTCGAAAAGCAGTGATAAAAATAGCACAAGAAAACAAACACAGATATATAGCGAAACATCAAACAACATTTCGAAAAAAGGTGGAAAAAAATAAATGAAAAAAGTTAAAAAACAGATATAAGAAAAATTTGAAAGATGAAAGATGAAATACCCTAAAAAATTGAGAGCATAATATATGAAAAAGAAATTGTTTAAAGGAAATAATGGAAATTATGCGCGTTGCATACGGGTTTTCCACTTTAATTTGACAAATTTCTTAAAAAATAGGTATACCTTATAAAACCAATAAAACCCTCGAAAAAAAGTGTATTGAAACCCAAACATAAATTTGGAAATTGCGCGTGCGAACTTTGTTATGCACGATATTTCATGCAATTGCAGCGATTCCCAAGTTTGTCATTCCATTTCAGTCAAGGCAAAAGGCGTTGAACTGAGGCCACTTCAACCCGGACTAAAGTTAATGAAATTATTTTTAAAAATAAATGAAACTTAAATTACCTGAAGAACAGCTGCGAAAAGCTCCGAGTCTCAAAATAATTAACATGGAACATGGAACCACAAGTGCGAAAGCTCACAGTTTGGCAGCCACTGCTGGCGGCACACGACGACGACGACACACCCACCATTCCCACACACACTCTTTCTACACACAATCGCAGCCACAACACACGACGAATCAACTGAAGGTCAAGGAAAGTAAATGAAATCGAAAGTTTTTGTCCGTTTTTGCTGATAATAAAAACAACGGCACGTCTCTGCTCAATTAGAACATAAATCAAGCGAAAGCATTGGAATGAGTGGAAACGTAAAGCTTTTTTGTCGGCACTGGAATACTTTATATACTAAGTATATATCTTTATATATACATATGTGGAGAACAACAGATGGAAAAAGAGCAAGAGAGAATGAGAGAGGATATTGTGCCCCAGAGAACTTGTTTTGGATACGTTGGGGTTGTCGAGGTTGTGAAAGATACTATAGAGATCAGTAGGTTTTAATTCAAGATTTATACCGTAAGATAAATTTATTTATATTTACACATTATAAAATAAAAAACCACAACATAATATATAATTTTATGTCATAAAAAATTATGAAGATCAAGGAAGTATTCATTTTAATGAAAGGAAAAAGTCACAAGACTAATTAATATCATAAAGATTTAGGCATGTTTATTTCATACTTAATTTAAACGAATTAATGTTTAATACCATTGTTACAAAGTTATTCTCGTATTTGCTATTAAGAAAGATTGTTTAATATTTAATCATTTTAATTGCAGTTTGGAATATTTCTTTAAATTATTATGGTAATATTTTCAGCACACTATCAAGATTTTATCAATTAAGTTATCAATTAAGTTTCTAAGTTCCTGATTATTTTTCCCTCGAAAGCAAACACTCGACAACCCTAGATCTCCGCCTGGAACGAAGTGAAATTACGTGACTCGCTCGCCATTGGGGGAACAGTGTGCTTCTGGCAGCCGTCCGATCGCGTAGAACTTTCGCAGTTTCTTAGCCTTCCTTCCCCAGATAGTTATTCTAGATCCACAGGTGGGCGTGAAGCACTCTAGGTTCTCCTTACCGATTACATAACTTATAAATACAATACACAATTCACCATAGCCATGTCTCTGCGTGTGATGTCCCCCGCTATGCTGAGTGCCTGGAGCCAGACTTTGGTGCGGGCCATGTCCTCGCAGAGTGGCAGCGGCAAGAACATCGGCTTCGTGGGCCTGGGCAACATGGGAGCCAACATGGCCAGCAACCTGATCAAGGCCGGACACAAGCTCCATGTCTTCGACATCTCCAAGCCCGCCTGCGACGGACTGGCCGCCAAGGGAGCCACCGTGTACTCGAAGACCTCGGAGCTGGCCAAGAACTCGGACTTTGTGATCACTATGCTGCCGAACAACGCCATCGTGGATGCCTCGTACGAGGAGATGACTGCCGATGGCGTCAACAAGAACACCATCTTCATTGACTCGTCCACGATCTCGCCGGAGCTGGTCAAGTCGCTGCAGAAGAAGATCAGCGGCAAGGGAGCCAGGTTCATCGATGCTCCCGTCTCTGGCGGAGTTCCCGGAGCCGAGCAGGCCACGCTCACCTTCATGGTCGGCGGCACCGAGGCGGAGTACAATGCCGTCAAGGGTGTCCTCGAGTGCATGGGCAAGAGGATCACCCACTGTGGTGTCTATGGCATGGGACAGGCTGCCAAGCTGTGCAACAACATGATGCTGGCCATCTCCATGATCGGTGTGTCCGAGGCCATGAATCTGGCTGTGCGTCAGGGTCTGGATGCCTCTGTCTTTGCCGAGATCATCAACTCCTCCACCGGCCGCTGCTGGGCCTCGGAGATCTACAACCCGGTGCCCGGCATCTGCCCCACTGCCCCCGCCAACCGGGACTATGCCGGCGGCTTCTCCACCGCCCTGATCACCAAGGATCTGGGCCTGGCCTCCGGAGTGGCCAACTCCTCCAACTCTCCCATCCCGCTGGGTTCGCTGGCCCACAAGGTGTACTTGTCGCTGTGCGAGAAGGGTCTGGGCAACAAGGACTTCTCCGTGGTGTACGACCTCATGAAGAAGGAGAAGTTCAGCGTTTAGACTTAAGGACCTCTAGCTAAGGCTGATCCCCACCAGTCCTGCATTTATTATTATATACCTATTATATATATTTTGTGTCCATTAAAGACGTATTCGATTGTCGTTGGTTGAGTGAAAAAGTTCCATTCCGTTGCGTAACAGTGGGCTGGTCTGGCCAACATCAGACATCCGAGAAACCCCGTCGAACTGATAACCAGCGCCAGATGGGGGGATTTGCTTTATCGCCGCTCCCGAGAGACCCCAGCAAATAAATGCCAGCAATTAACGATTAAAGCTTATCTGGGCAGCACTCGTGGCATTAGATTCCGCGTGGAGATCGAGTATTAAGCTCGCGTCTTCTCAGGTAAACAGAGAATCTCTGAGGAGGAATGAGACACAATAGACATGATAGTGGAAATAATGGCGTGTTAAAAGCTCACAGTTTGGTGGTCACTGCTGGCGAATTGCGTAGCATTAAAGCTTGGGGTTTTAGAGGCACTTGCGGGTATGTATTTATATTAAAAAAAATTTAATTAAGTAAAATAATTGTGTTAAGCAGGCATTCCTACCACAGAAATTAGTTTGTAGATACAAAAAAATATCTATTTCAGTTTCAGCTAGGAGTTATTTAATTCTATATTATATATAATAGATTATAAGTTTAAAGAAAGCTATCTTTAATAAGAAAAAGTGAGTAGTAAACTTTAGAAAATAATAAAATTGCTACCACTTACATTTTAGCAAATTGATATTCAATATTTTTACTCAACATTTTTAATGGTGAAATTATAGTTTTTCAAGTATCATAACTTAGTCAAAAATGCATTAATTTCAATTCGGAAAGCTTTCAATTTATAAATCTGCATACTTAATTTAAAATTATAGAAAATTCAAATTTTTATCAATTTTTGACAATTTTAACGATGTATAACCCCTTAAAAACTTTAAAAAAAATTGAAAAAATTGTTTTTTTCCCAAAGATGGCTAGAAAGATTCGCCTGTTGATGCTGATCAAGAATATATGTATATAGTTTATAGTGTCGGAAATGACTTCACAGCGTAAATCGCTTCTGACTGACAACTGGTCCGCTATCGGGAATACATGGCGTATACTTAACGTGAAAACCCTTAAATTAAGTATACGCAGTGTGTGTCTTAAGAAAGTAAAGGGTTACAAATTTATAAAAATTAGTAAAATTACAATTAAATAGCAAAAGGATTCGCCAATTTATGCTGATCAAGAATATATACTGTTTATAGGGTCGGAAACGATTGCATCACTGAATTTTAAGCTTCTGACTGCAAAGGCATAAAAATGTAGAAAAAAAGTGGCACAAAGTCAGAGTCAGTTGTTAAACTATCTTAAGGTTAAGAAATCAGTATTTATGACTCAGTTATAATAAGGTTAGGCTATTTATCAAGATTAAGACTTACCGCTTAACTCCTTCTAGTGTACTCTTGGTAACTATTTCGATGATTAAAGTTTCCAACAATGTAAGCTTCGTCTTGGTACTCCATATGTTAGACACTGCTCAGGCGACACTTTTAAGGTCGAAGGGTAATCACTTTCACTATCACCAACGATGTTAACAGCGGGGAGGCCGCGCACAGAATGAGGTCAGCGCAATGGCTGTGCCTCTATTTATACTCTCCGAGTAAGGAGAACAGAGAAAGTGAAAGAGAGAGAGAGTAAGGGAGAAAGTAATATTTCTAGAGATACACAGAGAGAGATGGACATACCAAAACAGAGATGTAGGGAGCGGGAGCGAGAGAGGGAGAAAGAGTCAAATAGATAGAGGTAGCTTCTAAACGTACAGAGGGATCAAGATCAAGAATATATATACTCTATATGGTAGGAAATGACTCTCCCAAATTACCTTTCAATAATTAATAATTAAAATAATACCTTTCAAGGGTATAAAAAGAATCAAAAGACTGTTTTCAACATTTTATAATTAAATATAGTAGAGTATGTCTCTTAAAATAGCATGATTTCCACCTAAAATTAATCAATCTGACGAAATAAAATAGCTGAATCGCGCGTTCTTGATCTTTATTATCACAACGCTAATTGTTACTTCAAAAACAAATTGTTTAGCTTTATTAAATTATTACAATAATATCACCCTTAAGAAGGTTAATTCAATCTGTTTATTTTAATAATTCCGCCAAGTTATTTATAAATGTATTTTTTTCTAGGATAACTACTGCCATGTCTTGCCACATATTGTCCCATTCTAGTCTACGTATTTGTAGACAAATACCGATACGAAGAATGTCTCAAATTGGCTTCATTGGCCTTGGCAATATGGGAAATCCTATGGCCAGGAATCTGCTCAAATCGGGTCATGAGCTTCATGTCTTTGATATATCCAAAAAAGCCTGCAATGATTTGGAGAGCAAAGGAGCCGCAGTTCACCCCGGAGTCACCGAAGTGACCCAGAAATCCAACTACGTGATCACTATGTTGCCAAACAATAACATTGTAGAAGCTACCTATAAAGAAATACTTTTTCAAGGCTTAAAAAAGGATACCACGTTCATAGATTGCTCCACAATCTCACCAAAGTTGGTCAAGTCACTGCTGAAGAGAATCAGTTCCCAAGGAGGTCGCTTCCTGGATGCACCCGTATCCGGCGGAGTTCCTGGAGCTCAGGAGGCCAGCCTCACATTTATGGTGGGAGGAGCTGAGGAGGACTTCAAGGCAGTCACGGGAATCCTGGAGTGCATGGGACAACGCATTGTCCACTGTGGAGCCCAGGGAATGGGTCAGGCAGCCAAGCTCTGCAACAATATGATGCTGGCCATCTCCATGATCGGCACTTCGGAGGCCATGAACCTGGCCGTGTCCCAGGGTCTAGATGCCAAGATCTTCGCTGGGATACTCAACTCTTCCACGGGGCGTTGCTGGGCTTCCGAGTTCTACAATCCAGTTCCAGGGATATCGGCCTCAACTCTGGTTAACAAAGTTCCCATTTCGTTGATCAACAAAGACCTAGACTTGGCCTTGGATGCGGCCAAGGCCTCGAACTCCCACATTCCCATGGGTGAACTGACCCACAAGATCTACAGTTCCCTAATTGCCCAGAACCTAGGTCACAGGGACTTCTCCGATATTTATCAATTAATGCAGCAGAACAAATTCACTTTTTAGCAACTGTTTTCGCTTTTCTTCGTTAAATAAATATATATAAATCCATCAATGGAAAAGTTGGCTCTCATTGCATAACCTTTCAACAAAAATAATGATAAGCAGTGGCAAAAAATAAAAGTTGGGTGTATTTTTAGTGCCCAGTTCGAGACCTCATCGAGCCACAGCTATTTTCCAGCACTCGAGTGTTAATTGGTAAGTAAACAAAAGAGCTGAGCAACACAAACAATGATAACAATGATAATATGCAGGGTATGAAAAATAAAGATAACAGTTTGAGCTTCACACACTCAGTAAATCAAGTTTAAAGGGCAATGTACAGTTTGACAGCCCCCACAGTTTGTTTATTATAATATTGTGAGCGAAATCCAAAAATATGTTTTATTATTTATGTATATATATATATTTTTGAAAAATAACAAACTTAACTTAGGTGCTAATTAATTAATTGAGTTCGGTATGTATATAAAAACTTTGTTGTTGCTCTTTTTGCATTTGTTTTGTTTTGTTTAGTTTGTCGCGGGGTATAAAATAGTTTGACTATCTAAAATTTATCAAATCGATCGATCGGAGTGGGTTTACAATTAGCAATTAATTTCATTTAAAGTATTATGCACGTAGATTAATATGGCTGGGCCGGGGCCTTCGACGAGCTGATTATCCTAGACAATAGTTGATAATAAATACAAGATGTAAATTTTAGGAAATGTTTTCAACAATCTTTATCGAATTTCCCAAAAGAAATAATTAGGATTTGGATTATATTATTACAAGTATAAGTGGTGTATATCATGAAGAAGCGTCCTTAAACGAGGCGAGGGTGCAATCGAAAAGGTAATTGTTGGTAGTTGGTAAATTGTAAATGGAGTTGATTTTGGGGACTGGAGCTTCCGTGGGATTAAGTCACATAAGTAGTAAGTAAGCCTAGTTGCAAAATTCTTTGAAAATATCACAAATTGAAATACACAATAAATAAGTAATCGCATTTTGGATTCGCGCAATAAGGAATCTTAGGTAGTTAGCAATATTCGAATAATTCTTTGAGAGAGATAGAGGTTACCTTAGGTACACATAGAGTCCGAGTGTATATACATTATAATTAATTTTCTTGCCGGTGTAAATAGTTTTGACATTTATAATTAACTGTGTGTGAGTGAGTGTGTATATATATATATATAGTTCTAGGAAAATAAGTGAAGCGAACTTTGTTGTGCAGCATAATTGAGTTGATTTGATGTCCTTGGATCCTTATATTACTAGCTAACTTTCTGTTGGTGTCTAATTGAATTCGCCATGGCTCAGACTGAGGCTCTTGGCCTGGCCGAAGCGCTGCTTCAGCTGGCTGGTATTGGCCCGGAATCTTTGCAGCAGCTGCTGCTGCCTGGAGCCACTGGAGCCACCAGGTCCTGGCCCTGATCCTGCTCCAAGGGTAGCGCTGGACTGCAGCTGCGATACGACTGCATCAGCGCTGGTTATGGACTATGAGCCTTTGAGCTTCTTCTTGGGATTGGAGCGGGTCTGGTCGGCAGGCGCCGAGGGAGGCAGTTCCCTATATTGATTCTGTAACAAAATTAATTATTTAGTAATAGTAAGGAGCTGTAGAAAATTCCATTGCTTCACTCACAATCTCTTCGTTATCGGGAACCCGGGATAGGAAGTCCAACAACTCGTTGTTGGGTATGGTATTGGGCCTCAGCAAACGGCGGGAGAACTTCATCAGGCCCCAGAAGAGGAGCAGCCAGCGCAGAGGAACAAAATGCAGGACCAGAATGGCACCCAGCAGCAGGACCACGGCCAGCCAGGTCAGTTCGGGGACGGAAAAGTTGAATGTGCTGGAAATTCAACTTAATAAACACAATTTCTAAACAAAATCACAAATTTAAGCTCACTTGATGGTGCTTTCGCCTAAAGAGGCCAGATAACCTATGGTATTCTGTACGGTTTGGGAGACTTCTTGTATGGCCTGTAATCTCTCCTTGATGGACTTTTTCTCCTCCTTCTCCTTGTCATCATCATCGTCCTCATCATACTCGTAGTCATAGTGGGCAGCAGGATCTGTAGTGCCAGTGATCAGGCGGATAAGCCAGTTTCTAGGGGAAGTTTAATATATATTAAATACTAAATCATGTATAAATTATCCTACTTGAGTATGATTAGTAATAGAACCAGAGGCACCGTTTCCAGATCACCATAAACACAGGCGACTATCCACAGGACAAAGGCAATGCTGGAACGCACGGGGGACTCCCACTCGAAGCAGCTCCTTTTGGTAAAAATTAAATGTGAGTACTAAGTATTACAATTCGATCAAGAAACCACATACTGAACATATCGTGCTGCATCTAGGATATCCATTATAATCTCCTTAAGTCGGTTGACATTGCGCAGGAAGAGCTGCCTCTTGAACTTGGCCTCCTGCTGTATTAGCTTCTCCTCCTTGGGCTGCAGGGCACGGCACACAGCTCGGACTTCGTTCCAGACCACCGTGAGTTCCAGTTGGATTTGTGGAGAGTTACCTTTGGCCCGGACACACAGGTTCTTATCCTTGAGAGTGTACCACCGCTTGACGCCGCTCTTGATACGGAGCAGGGGTATGACCAGTTTGCCCAGGAACTCAACGCGATGATCGCGATCCTCATCAAAGACTGTGATTTCCAGCACTTGAGTGATGTCCTTCACATTACTACAAAAAGAATTAAATGTATAATTAATCATTAATTAATTATTATGCATACTTACAAGGTAAAGATCTTATTCCAGTTGGGCGTGAGGGTCTTGTACTCCGTTTGGGTTTGCAGCCGGGCATTTCCCAGTTCCAAGACACAAAAGGGATCCGATTTGCCTCCAATATCCGCCGCTGCGAGTCCTGTGGCTCCAAATACCTTCACTGTCAGGTGACCCACATCTCGGAGATTCTGCAGGCAACGCAGGAAGCGATATCGCTCCCTTAGAAGCTGTGCCTCCCTTGGGTCCTCCTTGAAGGCCTTCAGATCACTGATTGTCTCCAAAGCGGTGGTTCCACTGATCGTCAGCATGAGGTGGACTTCGCCAGGACAATCCTCGAGAGGTTTCCATATGCCATGGGTGGTCTCCCGCTGGAACACACTCAGATCGATGATGGCCTTGCCGTACAAGGAATTGCGATTCCATAGAGCCAGCTCCAGGTTCTGATCCTCGTCGAAGAGGTGGAGATCGAACTGCTCCAGCCAGCGTTCCGTCCAGGAAGACTTGCTCTTGTACTTCTCGTTGCCCAATCTGGATTTAAAAAGGGAGTTTAAGTTATTGTATATTCATAGTACTGTCTCTAAATGTATTTCTCAGCCTCATCTTCCACAAAAGCTTGCAGCTTTTGGTGATAAACCTTGAGCTGCTGATAGCGACAATAAAGAATATAATTGCTTCAGTTCAAGCTGCTCATTAAATGTGAATTTAAAAACATTGTTAAAGTAAAGTATTTTTTTTTAACATATTATTCCTTGAAACTCACCTAAATTTAAAGTGAATATCAATCAGCTTGCTGCCATCCTCGGCCAGCGGCAAATCCTTGGCTTTGACCAGAAGAATTGTGACCACAGAGCTCCAGATCTGCGACTTGAGGCGCTTCGATGACTCGGCCAGCTTGGAGTTGCGCTGAAAATGCTGCACAATATCCGGAAAATGAGTCTCGGCCACCTCCATGAGGTCGTCGCAACCCTGCTCCAGCTGGCCCCTCACATGCTTCAGCACCATGCGCGGCGCCCGCTTGCAGCCGGGCCAATTGCCCAGCATTGTGCCCTCGATCGGGGAGTCCGAGCCCCAAAAACTGAAACCGAAACCAATTTCGAAAACGAAACCGAAACCGAAACCCGAAAACAAAGTAAACAACAAATTGCGAGAGAAACGAAACCAAAACAAGATCCAAAAGCCGCACTTTGCCTGCGAAGCTCGAAGAGTGACTAAAGCCGCGAACCGATTGGGACAGTCCGGCTTGGCGAGATTGTGAGAAAAGTACACTAATTACTGAATAATGGGGTATGCTGGACTAGGGGAGAGGTATGTGAGTGTGCTTTACACATGTAAGCGGTAAGTATCAGGTACTAGGGAGAGTGTTGTAACTCAAGTGACTCAGCTTGACACCTCAGTGTGGTTTACCTTTTACACAAACTTGGAAAGGTGAACGGATGGGAAAATACCCTTTAAAATATTCAACTTATTTCATTGATCAATTTATAGGATTTTAAAAAGATTTACTCTAAGTTAACTAGTAAATATTTGAAATAATTTCTATATTCTCTAAAGCCTAAAGGTTCAATCATTAGGATAACTAGATAATACCGCTTAAGGGTTTCCTAATCTTAATCATCTCTCTAAAACCCTACAGGGCATCCCCTCTTCGACTCTTCTCCATATGTAGTATATACCCCAATTTCCATTGTATTTTCCCCCCGTTTGTCAATTGTTTGCCTTTGCCATTGCCTTCGCTTTTGTTGAGAGATAACAACATGCAATGCCAATGACAGACGACAGCTCAAGCTTTTTTTACTCCATCGAGCCGCCGCGATCAAAGCTCTTGATGATGAGTGTGATGTAGTTGAAAAACCAACTCAATTGTTCAAGTTTGTTGGGGGCATTGGATCAAAGTTTAAGCTTCCTACAAAATAATACAAAACAAAAACACAACAAAAGACCCCAAAAGTAAATTCAGGTGAGCCATAAATAAAGTCAGTGGGTAACCACGACGCTTGTGGATAAACGTCTTCATACCACAAAAGGGTCGTAGGTGTTCGCTTTTCGCTTCTTGAAAGCCAATTAAAAGGGGTTAGACAATGCCCCACAAATACCCAGAAGAGAAGGGCTGATTGCTTCCGCTTATGGCATAAAGTGAGAGGGATTTATGGAGACACTCACCATTTCCTTGTCCTCCTGACTGCGCGGCCAGAGCGTCAAATTGATGAGTATCTCGCCCATGCCATGCTCCCCGGGACTTCCGCCGGAATCGCACAACTGCAGGTGAATATCCTCGGCCTTGCCCAGCTCCAGTTGGGTCAAGTCCAGCTTGGCCGAGCCCATAAAGTCATCCTGGAGTCCCCAATCGTAGTCGAAGACCTGCCCAAAAAAAGGAAATTCATTTCGATTAGATTTTCGCTTTATGCTTCAGGGAATTAGTGCCCCCGCAAACATTATTCGATTGTGTGTTTTCACACTGCTCGAAATCTGTATTCCCTTAATGAAAATTAAATAACGAGCATAATCAAAATTAAATCGGGAAAAGGGAAAAAAGGAAATCCCTAAATGGCAGCGGTGGGATTCGAACCCACGCCTCCGAGGAGACTGGTGCCTTAAACCAGCGCCTTAGACCGCTCGGCCACGCTACCATGGGAGCGAAAAAATAATGCCTACCTCTTATCGGTGCTATATAATCTACGAAAAACTATTTATGGAACCACAGAGACCACCGCTGAATAAATAAAAATAAAGAACTATAATGACAAGGTTAGAAAAACCACAAGAATTTAATGTATTATGTTGCTAAATATAAATTTAAAAAAACTATGCAGGGTATGATAAATTTAGAAACTTTATTTTATCAACATTAAATTATTATATCATATAGCTTACATATGATCAATGAATTTATATAAGACAATCAGGTATATAGAGATAAATCCATTAATTTGTTTCAGTTTCTGTAGAGGAAATTATTAGGGGAAAAATTAGACACAAAATATCTTGATTTTAGTGTCTCAGTGTAGAGTAAACTTTTCCTGGAGCACCTGTCACTTCACCCCCTCGATAACTTTCACTTTCCCTCCCGGAACTCACCTTGACAATAATCGGCTGGAAGGGGTCCTCGATGGGCACGATGAACACCTCGTCCCACACCGGATTCAGGTCCCTGTGAATGGTGCGCGACTTGTGGAGGAGGCGGCCACCGACCTTGAACTTGACATAAGGATCACTGAGTCCTGCGGCACAGAGGACAAAAGACAAAGGAAAATTTTTTCGCTGCAGTGCCCAAGCATTGTGATAAGTGCTTGATTAAGCACAAAAGGGAGGGATGGCTTGTGTTGGTTGGAAAATGAGATAGTGGAAAATGGTAGGGGAATCTGTGTGGTTTTCGTTGGCAGTGCTGCCAACTTAAGGATTTTTAAGATCTCAAGAAACTTATCTTTAGGAAAGATAATATCTTTAAATTATTAAAACTTTAGTATATTACTTTAATTGTTTTCCTTTAACGCTTTAAAATTATGGTACTGCAACAATAAGTAACTATGAGCAGGAAGTAACTCTGAACAGTAAGTATCTATTATCAGTAGGTAAGTCTGAAAACTAAGTATCTATGACCCGAAAGTATGTATGTTCAGCTTTTAACTTTGAACACTAATAAACAATGACTTGCAACTTTTGTAACAAAACACATTTCTGATACTGGGCCGGCAGCAGTCACTTCGTTCCGGGGATGTTTAAACCAGTTGGGAATCATATGCACAGAGAGAGATTTGTTTTAGAACAAATTTAAGAGCAAGCTATTTGAATGAAACTACGGAGTTATTCTTCTATTTAATTTTACTAGTATATAAATCGGAGAATGGCGAATCGGTGGACTATATATATATACATATATATAGTTGCCATAGGAACAATCGGACGATTTATAAAACTATGATCCGTAATTAACTATGATCAGCAAGTATCAATGGACATTAAGTAACTGTGAGCACCAAGTAGCTCTGAATAGTGAATATGTATGACCAGTAAGTATCTATGACTAGTATGTAACTAAGATAAGTAAGTATCTATGACCAGTAAGTATGTATGATCAGTAACTAACTTTGAACACTAATAAACAATGACTTGCAACTTTTGTAACACAACACTTTCGTAAGACCTGGCTGGCAGCAGTCACTTCGTTCCGGGGATGTTTAAACCAGTTGGGAATCATATGCACATGTGCGAGATTTGTTTGGAACAAATTTAAATCAAGCTATTTTAATGAAACTATGCAGTTATTCTTCTATATAATTTTACTAGTATATAAATCGGAGCATGGCGAATCGGTGGACTATATATATATACATATATATTGTTGCCATAGGAAAGATCGGGTAATTTTAAGAAAAAAAATTATATCTTTTTCAGTTTTTAAGAGAGATTTACCAAATTTGATATACAGCCTGAGTATATTAATTATTATTATTAATTAATTATTCAATTCCCTTTAATCGGGAGGCTAACTGACAGCACTGTTGGAATTGGAAACAGGGTATTTTTTTGGTTATTGATATAGATCCTTGCTCACCATTCTTGTCCATGGCCACCAGGTCGCTGCCGGACTTGAGATGGACGCGCAGCTGAAAGAAGACGAATTGACGTAATTGGGCTTCGCGCTTGCGACGCAGCTCATCGGCCTGATCAGATTGCAGATTGCAGATTGCAGATTGCATTTTTTTTTTTTCAGTTTTTTCAGTTAGTTGAGAGAGTTGTGCAGCACAGCGAGTCGTAGGAAAAAGCCAAAGAAACCGGACAATTGTTGAGAAGTTTCAACAGATTTTAAAATTAGTGATTGAAAACAAAATGCGAATAATATAAGAAAGCCAATTAGTTAAACGAAAGGCCAAGCGGAACAAGCAAAACAAAAAGATCTCACCTGCAAGGCCTCCAGCTGCTGCTGAGTGGTCAACTCCGGCGAGGCAGTGCATCCGCCGGGTCCACCATTCTCGGGATGCTCATCGATCCGGCCCTCCATGGAGCCACCGAAGCGCTGTATGACCTGAGCCATCTTGGCCGTGGCCCGGAACTCCTTGGCCAGTGGGGATCCACCGATGGTGGTGCTTCGATGTCGCGGACTCTGCGTCACGGAACTGCTCTCCGAGCTGTAGTCGGCGGCATAGTCCGTGCTCTCCTCGAGGAAATCGCTGGGCGACTTGCGTCCCAGGCGATCTTTGCTCTTCGCACGACTCCAGCGATGCCGCAGATTGTTGAAAAATCCGTGCGTCTTCTGCAGGACTCCTACGCCTCCGGCCACGCCTCCTCCTCCGCCTCTGTCTCCGCCCCGGCCAAGTTCTGGGACACGGCACTCTTGGCCCGCTTGGGTGATATGTGCGGAGATTCGCTGTGATGGCAGTCGTGACCATTTAACTCGGAGGCGGATTTGCTGAGATGCTTCCCCAAGCGCTGCTGCTGCTGCAGCTGGGGGGATCCGTGGGGGGAAATCCGGAGCGGGGGAGTGCTCCCAGTGCTGACAGTGGAGCTGCTGCCGGGGTGGTGGTGGTGATCCGCCTCCTCCTCCTGCTCCACCTGGTCAACGTAGTGAATGCGTGCTGGTGGGATGGGAAAGGTGGAAAGTGGCAGAGGTTAAGTGTTATTTCAGACGGCACGCACGCAGCCATTGGGAATCGATTTAACAAAAAAATCTAGCCACCAATTGATAAGCCATATAAAATGTATTTTTGGAGCAGGGAAAATGCGGAAAATTGGATAAAATTAAGAGAGGAACTGCAGGTAGTTTATTTTGTGAAATGATATATGAAATGTCCTTAAATGTATATTGCACAACTTTAAATATTTAGCCAAAGTTTCTTTAAAAGCCATTGCACTTTACGACACCCATAAATCGTGGGAAATACATGTATAAAGGCCACTCTAAAAATTTAAGCGCTTTCCCACCCACTCAATGACATCACTTTGTTCTTTTCCTGCGATTGTCTTAATTATGAAAATTACACAGAGCCACAAGAAAGTAGAATGATTCGTGCCATTTGTCGATGCGGTCATCAAAAAAAGTAGAGAAAAATAAGAAAGGAAAGTGATTTAGAGTAGCCGAAGTCCGAATACCCTTGCAGTTTATTAAGTTGTAAGATCAAATCGAAAATCGATAAGCTAAGATATTTAAGAACAAATTTATATGGCAATTTTTATGGCAAATCAAAATTTAAAAAACTAATAACTTGGGCAAAAATGCTTTAATTTCAATTCGGAAAGCTATCCAATGTTAGTTTTAAGAAGCCTAATAAATCTGCATACTACATTTAAAATTTCAAAAAATTCAAATTTTTTCCAATTTTTGCAAATTTGAATGATGTAACCCTTATCAAATTTTCAAAAAATCAAAAATTGTAGTTTTCTTTCAATAGCTCAATCGATTCAGATTTTTGTACTGATCAAGAATATATATTGCTTATAGGGTCGGAAATTACTTCTTCACGTCGAAACAAGCTTCTGACTGAAATTACAATACCCTGAAAATGTATAATAAATGCTTTCATCTCCCTATAAATGTCTGACCAAATGGTACTTTTAAATTTTATATAATTTACTGCGTTCTTTTAAGTACATAAGTACTTGGTTGTGTTTTTATTATGAGTTATGCCACAGCTTTGAAATCACAATTTACCGCACTTAAATGTACATATGTCACTTGGGTTTAATTAAAATGGAGATTAGGCAGCTTTAAATGCATTGCATTTTAATTTTAATGAAAGCAAAACACCACTTTTATTTATCTTTGAGTTTGGAAAACACTTTAAAACAAGTTGAAGTTAAAAAATATTTATTTATTCAAAAAATATTTCTTTAAGCTCCTAAACCTTTGCAAATTTAATACCACTTTTCGTTGTTTATCACAAATCTTAATTTTCCGCACTCTTTACACATTGTTTTTCCTGTTTTTCCGCTTTTCCCACACACACACATTTATCTCTTGAAAGTGACAGCCAAATGGATTATACCAAGCAATATACATAGTAAATGCTGGAGTTTTCTCTCCTCTTTCTCTCTGTATCTTTAACCTGCACTTTATCTGATACTGCAGGGACCTGGCCTTTACCTGTGGCTGGGAATATTTTATTAATCCTGTGGCACAGTGCAAAAGTGTGTGGCAGATGCTTCGCGGCTTTCTTTGAGGATTTTGAGGACCTAAAATGCAGCGGTTGCATGACATGGCCACAACACTCGCGAGGGTCACAAAAGTAAATTGAGATGAATAAATGATTGCACAAAAACTAAGAGGATTTAGGAGCTTCAAGTGACAGGGATTTTTGGCACTAGCAGGAATTTTAGCAAAATAATTTTATTTGATTTTTCCGAGCGCGGAGCTGGGCGACCTGCACGCTGGCAGTGCCCCTAGAAGACTGAATCGCTGTCTGGTGTGTTATGGTTTCATCCCCCAGCCCCTAAAAGAAAAACACTCGCAACCCGCAACCAAGTACAACTACAACTACAACACCCGTAACATTTGCTCTCCTTTCTGGCATTTGTTATTGTTAACGTAACATGGCATTGTGGCATTGAGTTTAAGGGGGTTTTTCTGGGGTGCTCTCGGTTGGTTTTTGTGGGTGGCCTTACCAGCTCTTGCATTATTTATGCCCCTCCCTCCCCCAAATGTCCTGCGATGCTGAGTCCTGCAGCTGGTTTTATGCCGCGCAAATTGGAAAAGCATCCCCACGATGGCGTCATAAAATGCAAATGTGAATGTGAGCCGCTTGCCAAAGCTTTACGCACCCTCAGAATAAACATAAAAAAGAGCTTTACTTTGGCATTTTCCTCGGACTTTTGCGTCCAGTTTACTTTTTATTTTAATGAATGAAATGGCAGTTCAGTTTAGCAAGCGAGATAGAGACAAAATCCTCTCGAGAGACTTGTGGCAAGGACATTGGTGCTGTGACACAACAGTCTGACTTGACTCTTGTGCAATCCTCGAATGGCTTTGCATATAATTTTAATTAATTTAATGCAAGTCACTGCAGGTTGAACGAGGTGTGGCCAGGATCACACCTCGAGTCGTTCCAGGATTAAATTGATCCCTGGAGAGCACTTTGTCCACAAACACCACACATATGTCCCGATAGCTCTGTGTGTGGTTTGTGGTTTGTTTACACTATTCAACTGGGTCTAATAGTGGGTACCCCACTGTGTATTGTATGGCTTTAAGTGTGTGGCACACTTTTGGGCAGAATCTCTTCAAGTTCTCAGCTGCTTGTTACAAAATTAATTTACTAGAAACCTTAGCCAAGGTTGACTCTTCTCTAATTAGCCAAGTTTGTTCCTCAGCAAAGTTAGCCTTGAGTTAAAACTTCATTAGTTTCCTTCATGCCAAGAAATTATCGCGCATACGCCGTGTGGGCGGCACTCATTTAATCACATTAACAATGTCCTTAATGATCACATCGAACCACGTGCTTTCGATATGCATAAAAAAATAAGGTTTTTATGGATCAAGTAATGAAATCGTCTGAGGCAATATGTACGCATATCCTTTACAGGTTCATAAATGCAGCGTCATTAATGTTTTTATGGGGCTTTTGTTTTTTCGGCCTGGCTTCCATATCGGAAATTGGTGCGCGTAATCGGGCAATATGCATGCAACATGGGACATCAATTATGGATTTGACATGGCCACATGTGTATCACAGCTTTGGTCAATAAATCAAGCTCGAGGTCAGTCATCAATTATTTAGACATGGGTCAGCAAGTGTCATATGGCTTTAATGGTTCTGTCTTTGTTTTGCTCACCTACTCGGCACACCTTTCCCTTTTCACTCCTTCGCTCCGCGCTCACCTGTTGACTTTTTGCTGACATTTGCGCGTTTCTATTTTTGTGACAGTGCAGAGAGAGAAAAACCTTATTCATCATGTATAGTATTAAAAATTGTATGAGACATTTAATACCTAAAGGTACTATTTAAGAATGTTTACTATAAATAATACTTCACCACCATTTCACCACTTGCAGTTTTTATTGCAATGCTTTTATAAATAATTTAAATGAATAATAAACTCTTCATTTCCCCCGCACAGTGTAGCAAAAGTTTATTTGACAACACATGTCCTTTGCCCTTGCTTTTTATTTCCCCTTTTTGTTGGCGTCTTGTTCAAGTTCTTTTCTGCCCTTTGGCTTATTGGCCTTATATATACATACAAAGATATATATGTAGAGTAGTCAGGAATGACGTCATGGTCCTGAACCCATTCATGCGAAATTGGCGACGCCGGATCCCCCGCAGTTCGTTGCACTTAGCGGAGCCCCACTGTGCCGCTGGTTTGTTGTGGCGCTGATTATCATGTTTACCGAGCACGCAACGAACCGAAACTGAGCTTATCAAAAGGCCTAAAGTTTAATCACTTGTCGTGGCTTAGTTTTTTGGATAGAGAGAACACTGCCAGGTGGGGGTGACTACCACGTTCCAGGCATGAATGAGCACCTTTTATTGGATTCTTAAATATTAACGCCAGACAAGCGTCTGGCTTTGTTCTATGCCATATGGCGCTGATTTGCTTCACAATTAGCACATTTTATTGGTATATTTCGCAGAGCGAAACATCTGCCTTGAGATACTCAACTTTCGTAGGGAAATTCCTCAAGTTTTTATGATTTGCATTTTCCCGCATCAACAACAAAACACTGCAGCTCTTCAGTCTGTGGCTTTCGGATAAATGATTTTTCCCTCAATTTGTTTGCGACTCTAAATTATTCATGGAATTCCTCCTTTATATACAATATTTCCTTGGTCACCGCAGTGCTCCCCAAGCTGACGATTTAGTTGTTTTTTTACGGCTGAATGTCCTGAATTATGCATGGCTTATTTATGCGGATTTTGTCCTTATTTGAGGCCCGAGCACTCTTAGAAATGCATGACGATTGCATGGGGGCTCGGATATTACGCATACGCCGCGTGAGCCTCGAGCTGATGGACATCTCTCGCTTTGGCAGCCCATAAATGCAGCAGATCCTGGGGATCTGGGCTGACAGCTGCTTAATTAACTGCCAGGATAATGATGAAATTAAACGGGATCATGACAGCTTGCATTATAGCCTGGCTTATGTTTGAGAGGCCCTTAAAACAGGGATTACCTGCAGGCAACCCAATGACCAACCTGCAATGTGCGTGTGGTTGTCATAGTGTTTGTGTGTGTCCGCCTCAGGGAAGGAATCCGCAGGATAATGGGACGGCGGGATAATGGGAGCCGCAATACGCGCTGGCCCGAGGCTTTCATTTTAATTAACTGGGTTACCTTTGTGGGGCCAGCCATTTCGGAGCCAAGTAATTACAATTTGCCAGGAAAAACAAGACCCACAAAAGCGAAGAGAGATTCACACAGGGAAAAAGTGTATGTTAGGAGTCTATAGAACCATTAAATGTGTGGTTATGTTTGCAATAAAGATTATTATCACTTTGATAGGATAAACATATTATTTTATTTGAGGTGTCAATGGTAATCTATCTATTTAACGACAGGTTAGAGGTAAAACTAACACTGCATTTTTATTATGTTCTCATACAAAACAACAATTAATTGTTGAAAGCATTAAATAACTTGATATGTATTATATATACTATTTCCTTTATAATATTCCATATATTTGATAAGAATATATGGGTCATAATGTATAAATTGCTTAAATTCCGATAGATTACATTAATAAAGTTCCACAACTGTTTTTCTCAGTCTCAAAACAAACACAAGCATTGCAAAAGTGATGGAAACTTGTCACTGCATGGGGGAAATGCTTTCTTTTCTCCTGTCATTTGTCTCCTGGCATTTGTCTCCTGCCACTTGCCTCCTTGATATGTGAGAAGAACTTGGCCAAAACGGAGGACAAACGGAGCTTTTGCAACCCAACACCAACTGACTTCGTTTCCCAGCTGCGTCTGAGCCAATTTCAGCATTCAATTTATGTTCAATTGTACAATTTCATGTTCGGCAATTTGCAGATGGCGGCTGCAATTTCAATCAAGGAACACAGAGCTCTCTACACTACCACGATGGGGTCCCTACACAGCGGGAAAAGCGAGGAAAAGCCAAGATGAAAAGGGCAGACACCTCGAGGCCGCCGCCACCAACTGTGGCGACAATTTTCCTCGTCTTTGTATCAGCTTTTCATCCCTATTTCCCGCAGCCAAGAGATGTTGATTTGTCAAATGGCCGCATAAACAGGGAAAACTTAATGACAGAGAGGGCTGGGCAGAGAGACAGGGCGGAAAATGAGCGCCGAGCGATAATTAAAAACTATATCAGGCATATAGCACGCGACATCTAGACAGAATACTGAATACAGAATACAGAAAACCGAACAGAACCGCATAGAACGGTCATGTGTTGGCCATTCATTTCGAATTTGGCCATGTATATTGCCAATTGCGTGCTTTATTATTCAACGAGACGCCGCAGAGAGTGTAAGTATGTGCTTGGCCGGAAGCGCAGCGGCATGCAAAGACGCCATAACCGCCATGACGAACCATGGCAACAGCAACGGCAACGGCAACGACCAGGGCCAATAAGCCGCAGCAATGGCCACAAGGATCATCCGCAGAGTATCCACTGTGGAACCTGTGCGTGGGGGAGGGTCGCCGGGGGGAGGGAGGGTCGTTGCCAGCAGTTATCGGTCCTAACCCCTTGCTGACATGGCGCCAAAATCATAACGAGGTGGGATCTATGAGTTTGTGTGACAACATCAGAAAACAATTTAGCTTGTAAGCTTTAGAAAAATGAACAACCGACTAAAGGAATTTATTAATATTTATAAATATTTTGTATAGGTTAAGATAATCCAAATACATAAATTAAGAAAATTCCAATAGAATTATATAATTTTGAATTATTAAAATTGATTTATAAAAGTGTTATAAAATCATGGACTTAAATCGATCATAACTCAGTCAAAAATCCATTAATATCAACTCGGAAAGCTGTTCTATGCTAGTTTTTATTAGGCTAACAAAACTGTATACTGAGTTTTTAAATTTAAGAAACTTAATTTTTTTGTAAAATTTTGACAATTTTAATGATGTAACCCCTTATAAAATTTTCAAAAAATCGAAAAATTTAGTTTTCTTCCAAACATAGCTTAATCGTTTCAGATTTTTATACTGATCAAGAATATATATGATTTATAGGGTCGGAAATGACTCATTCACAAAATATCACCAAGAAACCATCTTATGTGTCCCTTATAGGAACATACATAGATCAAGTTATATTTATTTGATAATTTGTTGTGAAAATCACAGTTTTTAAAATATCATAACATGGCCAAAAATGAATTAATTTTAATTTGGAAAGCAGCCCTATACTATTTTTTAATAGATTAATAAATCTGCATTCTCAAAATAAAATGTAAAAAAATCCACATTTTTGCCCATTTTTTTAACCCTTATAAAATTTCGAAAAAAAATGACAAAAATTTTCTGTCTTTTTTCAATGCCTAGAAAGATTCGCCTTTTGATGCTAATCAAGAATATATATGATTTATAGGGTCGGAAACGACTCCTTCACATTGTTACAAGCTTCTGACTAAAGCTAAAATACAATTTTTAGTCGATATTTTATATATTTGCAAGGGGTTATAAAAACAACACAAAAAATTTTTTTCAACACGAAAATAAATATTGAAAATTATATAAGCAAATTATTCTTCAAAAGAATTACTTGTTAAGGTTAGTACTACTTCAAACTTTAAGCTAATAACTAAATTTAAGACACATTAGTCACATTAATCAACAATAAAAAAATATATAAATAATACCTATATAATTTATACAATTTCCCATTGAGCACTTTTGGAATACAATCTAATTTCTTTTGCTAAGAAACTTCAGGTTTCAAATTAAATAAATGGTGCATTAAACTGTAATGATACAAGATAAATAAAAATAAGTATCAACAACAGAAAGTGGAATAAATATCTGGTCTTGTTAGTTACTACATCAGAAAAATATACTTTGCTTGTTTAATAAATAAATAAATGTTGTTTTCTCTCTTGCCGCATCAATAGTTCTGAAATAATTAAAGGTAAATAAACAAAAACAACAAAGCAAACTCTATCAATGCCCTTCTTTCGGACTCTTGTATTTAAACAGGTGTTGTTAAAATACATAACATTTTCTAAAAGCCAATTTAGTCTGATTATAACTAATTTATTTTTGAAAATCCCATTCTGTTCGCTTTTTGTCCACAAATTGCTCAATCCTCCGCCCCAAATTTACTGTGGCAAAATTTATGCGCAAACTAATTTAGACAGAGCCCGCACTCGGCCCGCATAAAAATAGCAGGCTCTTCAGCAGAAATACAGCTCAGCCGCAGCATCAAAGGACGTGGAGCCAGGACGACCCTTTAAGGACAAGAGGCACAGCGGATTACGTGCTGCCTGCCGCTCGGAAAATTCACATATATATGTTTAAAAATAAAGGAGAGGAGGTGAGGCAGTCACAGGTAGGAATTTTCTACTCGTGGCTTATCAATGGCGAATCGTGGAAGCTAAACAACACTTACACATCCTGACGGCTCTGCAAGGGGGAGTGTGTGTGTCGGGTGGGGTGTGTGTGTATGTGAGGTCACCAAGACAAGTGCATTCAAATTTCGCGACTACATCCTCCGCGCTTTTACGAGTTTCCTAGTTTTCCCTCTGCTAACGCCGCCGCTGCTGTGAATTTTCCTAGGCGCTGCTTGGCTTTCGCATTTGACCAAATAATTTTCACAGCACACTGCACAGGGTTAAACCAATTCCGTTTTCCTGGATTTTTTCTTTATTATTATTTTTACTCCTTTCTGTCGGAGGGGCACACACACTCTACACACACGCGAGATGAACGGCGGGGGCCGGAGGAGTGAGTGCCGAACTTCGCAGGGCTAAACGCGCGGCGGCGTTCGAGTGAGCGAGATGGGACAACGCTCCGGCTCCGTGGGTGCGTTCGCTGCCGTGGAGAGTTTTCGCGCAACTGAACGCTCGCCAAGAGCTTTTCAGCACTCGCAGGGCGCCCGTGAAAGAGCTTTTCCGCTCGCTCTATTCGAAAATTGAGTGGAATTCGGTCGAGTGTTGTTCTGTCGAACGAAGGGACGAAGGGCCCTCGAAACTGGGATAAACACGGCAGGTAAACATTGATTGTCATTGGCGACTTGGCTCGCGACTTTGACGGGCTTTAAAACATATAAATACAAGCTTTAAATCGGTGATCTTTTATTTATAGCCCATTGTCGGCAATTGTTCTTTGGTCTTTCAGTGGGCCAAGTTAAGTTCCCTTTCGCGCAACCTAATTACCGGGCCTTGGCTTTGCGTAAGATCTCAAAAGTAGGCTTCGGAGCTTTTGAAGGACACTTTAAATGAGATAGGAAAAAAGGAGTAAAGGGGATTAACCTTGGTTTCACAGTAGTTTAACTTGAGTTTAAAATTTCCTTTTTCTTTGTTTATTAAGTTTTCCCAAGATAAATATTATTCTGTAAATCAAAACATTTTCTTAACTTGTAATGGTATATAAGCTAAATTTATTATTTTTATTTTTATTTATTTTAAATTATTAATTAAAAGAAACTACTTTTTGAATGCCCCCTCAGGTATTAAAATGTTTATAAAATATTTGCTATGCAGTAAATGAATCATTTCCGACCCTATAAACCATATATATTTTTGATCAGTATCAATATCTAAATCGATTAAGCTATGCTTAGAGTGAAACATAAATTTTCGATTTTTTTGAAAATTGTATAAGAGATTACATTGTTAAAATTGTCTAAATTTGATAAAAATTTGATACTTTTACATTTTAAATAGAGTATCCAGATTTGTTAACCTGGTAAAAACTAGCACAGAACAGCTTTCCGAATTAAATTTTTGCTTTTTTGGTTGAGTTATGATTGATAAACCAATTCCAAAGCCCATGACAAATTGAAACTAATCACATAATTCTTCATTTCAATAGATTTCAATACCATTAGGTTAAGGCTTTATCACATCAAGTAAGTATGTATATATGTAAGTTTATAAGATTTCACTGATAATCTGGGCTCTCTCTCTGGGACAAACCCTTCAAGAAGAGACTTGAATAAAAACTTTGAAGACTTGGAAACAAAGAGAAGCCGAGTGGGGTTATTTTTTAAGAGAGAATGAAAGAGTGGGGCCGCAGCTTCTGACAGATGATACGATCGCTGGTCCGAAGCCAGGCCGAAGCCCGGCTGATTCCTCGCTGGTTCGAGAACTCTGGAAACCAGAACCGTTGGTCAGTCAGTCGGGAATTGTGCGGAAACTTGGATCTCCAATCTGTGGTCCAGAAATTAGAAGCGGATTTAGTAGAACGGTTTGCAGTAAAGTGATCCCTTACCCTTCACCACGCTTTAACTTTTATCCGAAGAAAATATATTGAGACTGGCGGCGGGCTCCAAAGGTTTCGAATATTAAAAAAAAAAATAACTACAAAAAGTAGCGGTGAAAAAGAAAGCAAGCAGAGACAAAAAAAAGACCGGTAAGTGGGCAAGCTTTAATCGGTGTCTGCGCTTTGTGGCGGCATCGCTGCCGCTGGCGCTGCCGCTGCTCGAGCGCCATTGCAGGAAAGCGAAACTACCGTTATCATCAGGCCTTGCACTTTACACTCCTCCTTCTGCTGCTCTCGAGCTCTCCTTTTCTCCAGCTTTCCTTGTCTTTGCCCTGCCTCTTTCTTTCACTCGTCGCAAAAAAAAAAAAAACTTCTGCATCTCCATTTCTCGCTACACTGGCCATCATGGTTTTCGGTACGATCGGAGGGCTCCCGCTGCGCGCTGTGTATTTGCATTTTATGGAGATACACTTTGATCCCGCGAACAAATTTTTTGATAATTTTATTATTTTTTTGTTATTTAATTGAGAATTGGCGTATTTTCTGGGCGATGCAATAAGCGGCTATAAATATCAAATAAATCGAATGCGAGTGCGAGTGCGAGTGCTTGTGTAACTTTATATTATATTTAATATAGATAGTATTTAAGAAATAAGAATGGAATCGGAACGGAATGGAAGCTATCAACAATAATATACAATTTAATTTATGGGAAGCAATCGAAAAATAAAAGAAATAAAGACAAGAAAGAGCGGTAGAAAGAGGAAAGAGGGGGGAGGCTTTATTTGGGATCATAAGCTGATAGGGAATATAAGCTAAAGATCTCTCGCCAATCTCTAAAGTAACCTAACTAATAACCTCACCCTCACCATCCCGATCCCGATCCCGATTCCGAGACGGAGATTCATCACAATCATGGAACTATTCCTCCGTCCGGAGGAATCGTACAAAGTTCAGATCGTCTAATTTTATAATACTACATTTTGTTTTGTTGTTAATTTTTCCGCCTGTTAGTCACTCGTCCGGCGGAAGGCATTAACTAATATATATATAATATAAGTTTTGCCAGACGACCTCAAATCTGAAAATGCCAAAAACGAAGTGCGAAGTGCCTGCCGATTGGCACCGATAAGCGGATCCACTTTCGGTTTGCTCCGGCAGACGACCTCCTCGCCGAGTCAGGTTTATTAATACGGTATTACCTACCTACCGTATTTTTTACTCTCTATTAATCTCGGATTTTGTTTCGGATTTTGGGTTTCTTTTTAAGTATTCCCGAGCGTTCATCAGGTAATCACGCGGCAATCCCGAGTCTCCTGAATTACCTCAGCGACAAATTAAATGGCTATTAAGGGGGTTTTAAAATTAAAATAATTTAAGATTATAGGTAAAGAGTTTTAAGAGAATGGGAAATAATAATCTGAAATATTAGTCAGATTAATGTCAGGCAAATGAAAAAGACTTGGAACGTAAAAACTTGTTGAAAAATTATACTTTTTAAATAATGATATATATAGCGTAGCGTAGATCTTAACCAAATCGGACTTGTAATGAATATGTAGAGAAAGATTAAAAAACTGAATCTAAAATCTTGATAATTAAACTTATTGATAGATAAACCTTTATCAAGTTATGATTAAATAATAAACCTGACCTGGAAGATCTCTAGAACTCGTAGCTCTTCTAGACAAAGGCTTCCTTACACTCCCATTCAGCAGAAGTACGCCCCGTTTCTATCGCTTCGAATTAAAAACCAATAAAATGCAATTATTTTAATCAGCAAAGCGATGGCTCAAGAGACGGGAACAACGACGGGAACGGGAACGGGAACGGGAATGGGAATCGGAGCCAAAGATCAGCGCCAGCGGGACCATATCGATGAGGATGAAGTCAGCGAACTGCAGAAGTCGCGCAGCTTCTACGATCGGGTTCGGGAGCAGGCGGAGCGCTTTGCGAGCACGCGGATGGGACAGTTTGTGATCGAGCGTGCGGACCGGGCGCTGGTGATGATCGAGGACACGGCCAAGTGGAGTCTGCCGCAGGGTGAGTGCATCTCTCTCTCTCCTCTCTTAACGCATGTCCTGTGAGCCTATCCTTTGTGATCCGCCTTTGTAGAAAAGTCAGCTGCTCCCTTGGCCCGTCCCTTGCCTTGGGGTCCCTTCCTCATGCTCATCATCCTGCTGCGTCTGACGCGCATTTGGTTGTCGGTGGGCGCCTTGATGATCGGAAATGGACCCATCTCCCCCTCGGATATGGTCTACTTCATCCAGACCAGGCGTCGCAAGCTTAGGGCCATCCGGGTTCATGGACTGAAAGTGATGCGGCAGCGCCAGCAGGAGGTCTCCTACAGCGGTAGCAGTGCCAGTGGCCGAGGTCTGACCCATAAACTCACTCAGTGGTTATCCAAGGCCATGTGCCGTCCTGGAGTGCAGAGAGCCAATTCCGGAAGACTCTTTGCCGTGCGCAACACGGAGCAGGTGAGTCTGCTGGATTAACCCTTCAAAGGGGAAGATATTTAAGGACTTGAGTTCCCACAGACCACGCAAACCACGCCTGCTGTGATGAAGCGTCCTCGGGAGGAGGACTCGAATGTCGATGCCGATCACAACCTGACCATCGACCAGATGCTGGCCAAGTATGCCAACGAGAACTCCGAGGATGACTCTGACTTTGTGCCCCATGCCGAGGAGGAGGACACCAGCGGCAGCAGCTCCGAGAGCAGCGACGAGTCCAGCGACGAGATCAGCAGCGGCGAGGCGGAGGAGGTGCTCAGTCAGGTGGGTTTTCACCAAGGTCCTTAGAGAAACACCCCTTTTCTAATTATGAGTTGTCCTTAGGCCAAGCCTAAGCCCGTGGAAAATGGAGTTCACAAGGCCACCGAGAAGGAAAACGATAAGGAAAAGGAGAAGGCTAAGGGAAAGGCGCATCTAACGACATCCTCCAGCAATGGGGACAAGGACACGGAGCAGGTGTCGGCGGCAGAAGTTGGTAACGGACATTGAACTTGAACATTATTAAGACTCTCGTGCACATAGCCCCCTAAGTCTAGGTTAACTCCAAGTATCGAATATCGATTTAAGCGTAGATGAAAACTGAACTTGAAACGTTGTCATGAAATACAATACAAAACCAACATAAAAAGCTATCGTAGATCATTCATTCCAATCCGTCCTCGTTACCCGTTGCCGTTTGCCCGTGTCACCCTGACCTCGAATCTCTCTCTGTGACAGGAGCCGCCGCTCTGAAGGTGAAGCTGGAGGATCCGCAGAAGTCCTCGCCGGGGCACATCAGTGCGGCCATGATGAACACCAGGACATACAACACCACGGCGGCTGCAGGTAACTCACCCGAGAAGTGCTCCGTGTGGTCCCCATTAACATTTTAACGTTAGTATTCTGTCTCTGTTTCTGTTACTCCGTGCATGTGTTCAAACACAACAGCCAGCACTGATCCCGAGACGGAACCTGAACCCGAAACCGAATCCTTTCCCGAAACCCCATCCGAACTTCCCAGCCAAATCCCAACCAAAGAAGAAGAATCAAACGATGAAGACGAAAGTTGCAGCAGCAGCGGAAGCAGCCAGACTGGGAACACTATGGAGTCCCAGGAGAACCAGCTGCAGTCCCAAGCCCAGCCAGATACCCAAGCCGATCAGATCCGAGAGGCTGTCCAGCAACTGTCCAACTATCCCCCAGTCGATACCCTAACTCCTGCCACCTCCTCCGAAGATATTTTCTATAGTCCAATCGGTGTGTCCCTCACTTCCTAGTCTTTCCCTGCATGTTGCTTGTATTATATCTTATATTTTAAGTCTGTATATAATCTATAAATGATTTGATTCTCCAACAGGTTCACCCACTTGCTTCAATACTAGCCTAGGAACCCAGGCCCTGCTCAAGAGTGCCAGCCTTAAATCCGTCCTGGGCAAGTAATTAATTTCCATTATTCTAACCCACTATCAAAGTACTAATATACCTTTGCCCCTCAGCCCACTCCACGCCCACTGCGTCTCCACTGACAGACCAACCCACTGAACCGGCTAATAACTCCACTGTCCCAGAGAACCAGGAAGAGGAACATCCAGCCCAGCCGGAGACCGAGAAACCCGTAAATCCACAAAACCAGAAGCAACAGAACCATCAGAACCATCAGCAACGTAATCATTCCCACCAACGCTTCCGTGGACGCAATCGACGTTAGAGCTTGGATGTATCTCTTTGTCCACAGCTATAATGCCAGATTTTGCTTCCAATAAGATAGCTTTTCTTTCCTAAACTCTTACATTCCCATATTGTTAGTGAATACTTTGAATAAATCTCTGAACTCAAAAGGATGTGTGTCCTGATATCACATTGATTGATCCACAGGCTCTAGTTTAAATCGAATATCCCCGCAAGGTGCTAGTATAATGGTGCTCTCGTATTGTATCGGAGTCTCGGGCAGCCAGCTGACCTTGTAGCTCCGCAGAAGTCGCACCAATAGAGTTTCTATCTCCAGCTCTGCTATCCTCTTTCCAATGCAGGTGCGAGGACCAAAGCCAAAGGGCAGATACACGAAGGGATTGCGGGATCGGGCCTCCGGACAGGCCTGAACACCATCAGGAGCTGACCCAGACTTTAGCCAGCGTTCCGGCACAAAGTCGGCGCTCTGAGCGAAATACTCGTCGCTGTTTGAGAGCTCCAAGACGCCCATGAGAACGCCAGTGCCGGCAGGAACCTGATATCCAGAGAGCACCAGGTCCTTTGTGGTAATCCGGAAATTTCCAGGAGTTATAGAGGTGATTCGCAGGCCCTCTTTGATGCAAGCCCGCAGATAAGGCATGTTTTTGGTGTTCTCTTCGGTGAGGGAACCCTTTGATTGGGGTAAGATACGAAGTATCTCGCGACGCAGTTGGTCTTGCTTCGAGGGGTTTTTAGCCAGGTGATAAAGGATGGTCAGAGCAGCAGAAGAGGTCTAAGATGAGAGATTTATTAGGTTCTGAAAATAAATTAAATCATTATGTACTTACCGTATCGATGCCAGCCATTAACATGTCCATTACCATCACGACAGCCACCTGCTTGTTGAGTTCCAAGAGCTGCTCCAGGACACATTTGGTATTCCGATCATCCTTCACCTCGAAACGCTTCATGGCAGTCTCTATATAGTTGGTGGTTATCTCAGTGATATTGTCATAGGTTTTGAGGAACTCCTTGAAGCCGGGTGTCTTGTAAAAAGGCCATATCGAGGGTTGTATATCGTACTTGAAGCTATAGTTGAAGAACTCGCCCATGTGTTTGGCCAAACGAGCGGCATTCGGATCTGGGTGATCACTCAGAAGACCCATTCTTGTATTCAGAGCCACAAAACTAATTGATTCAAAGGCCCAGTTCTTCAGCTCCTCATGAAAGTTGGCCTGGAGGGTATGAGTATCACGATTCCTTAGGGATTCCAACCTAAATTAAAATTAATATATTAATATATATTAACTAGGCATGATAATCTCTTACTTGTCTATAAATTCCTTGGCTATCTGATCGAGTTGGGGAAGACTTTGTCTCACATTCTGCACCTTCATGAGCACGGGGTTCACCTTGTTGCGTATATCTGCCCATTCCTGACCTTGTCTAAAAGTTATATTGTTACTCAATAAATATTTAATAATGTTTGGTTAAACTCTTACTCGGAAACAAGGCCACCTATACCACCAAAAACATCAGGTCTCTTCACTTTGCGATAATAACTGAAGCTCTCCAGACCTATCCGTATGGGCCATACTCCCTCGTTGCGATAGGTCACCTCAAAGTCCTGGGGGTTATAGGTGAAGACCATATTGGGCTTGCCCATCATGCCGGGAACGCGATATATATCTCCGTACATTTCCCTCATCCGGCGGTTCATTTGTATGAGGTTAGTATTTCGAAGGGCGCCTATATAAAATAAAATATTATAAATATAATATAAAAACCATATTACCAAAAATCTAATCTTATATTGATAAACTCTGATAGAGTCAGTCGCAATAAAGGTAAGTTATTCCCTGATAAGAAACTTTTTTATTCTATGTTAACAAAAAAATGCTTTCGTTTTCTGATATTTATTATCTGAATTGGACAAAATAAAAAATAATGTATAGCTTATCTCTTATCAGTTTATTAGCCATTGTTTCATCTGGTATAAACTAATAATACATTATTCTTATACTCACCACCTGGCATAAAGTAGGATATCATTTTAAGACTGCTTGGTCCTGGCATTTCCTCATAAGACTTTGCCTGTGTCCATTTTTCATCGCTGCGAGCACTCAAATTTCCCGCAATTTCCAATTGAGTCTGATAAAAAAAAGAACCATTGTGTGTAAACAAATCTTTGCTCTCTGAAAAAGCTTTCGCTCTTTTTTGCATTAGAATTCTCACCTGCTGACCAACTATTCCGCCCACTGAGAAAGTCCTAACAAAACACAGCTGATGAAGGCCTGAACTTGGCCCTTGGACACACTTTGCAGCACTTTTCCACATCGTTGGGTCTTATTAACGTATGCAATTTCCTATCTAACAGGTTTAAATTTGTATATATTACTGATATATAGTATAAACACTTTTATAATTGGAAAATAACACAAATTAAATGAAGCAGAACGGCGAACAACCGGTTGGGGAAAATGGTAAATGGCAACTGAATCGAGAGATTAAGTTTGGGACCGAAATGTTTGAGCTTTCTGCTCTTTCTATTAGAAAGCGGTTAGAAATAGCTTTTCATATCATAAAGATATGACGTAGATAATTCTGTTGTGGTAAAATCTTATTAAATACAAGGATTTAATATATATTTAAAAAGATTTGGTGTTAAAAATATAGACTTTAGAATGAAGCGCTTGATCTCTCCTCAGATAAAGAATTATTTACTCTACATTTGCATGGCTTTTTAGTTTACGTTAAAACCTGTAAAAAGCTTTTTACTTGAACATAAATGTATGTAAAATAAATGTAAAATATGCAACTAATTTAAAAACAAATGAAACAAAGTTATAAATGCTAAACTATGAGATACGTTGTATCCATTGCTTTGTGTTTTAAATAAAATGTGAACAAGTCATTTCCGACCTTATAAATCATATATATTCTTGATCAGTATCAAAATTCGCATCGATTAAGCTAAGTTTCAAAGAAGATAAAAATTTTTGATTTTTTGAAAATTTTTTAAGGGGTTACATCTATAAAATTGTCAAAAATTGACAAAAAATTTAATTCCTTTTAAATTTTAAATTGAGTATGCAGATTTGGTAACGTTGTAAAAACAAACACAGAACAGCTTTCCGAATCGAAATTAATGCATATTTGACCTTGTTATGGTATTTTAAAAATGAGATTTTCACAAAAAATTATCAAATAAATATATATTGATTTATGTTCCAATATGGGACACATATGATAGTGTTTTTTGTGGATAATCCGTGAATAAGTCATTTCCGACCCTATAACCCATATATATTCTTGATCAGTATAAAAATCTGAATTGAGTAGACTATGTTTGGAAGAATGCATAAATTTTCGATTTTTTTAAAATTTTTTAAAATCGTTAAAATTGTTAAAAATTGATAAAAATTTGAATTTTCAAAAATATATATTATAAATTGAGTATGGAGATTTGTTAACCTACTAAAAACTAACATAGAACAGTTTTCCGAATTAAAATTAACGCCTTTTTGGCTAAGCTATGAGATTTTTAAACTTTGATATGTCATAAAAATTGTCATATAAAAATATCTATAAATGTTGGTTTAAAGAAGGCGAATATTTGATGATCGATTTCCGCTATTCGATTATATAATTCAAAGCTTGTTATTATTCCTGTTAAGCTTACTTTTTCATTTTAATTGTACTTATCTTTATAAATTTGTAGCCTATTACTCCTTTAAGTCACACACTGCGTATACTTAATATTAGGGTTTCCACGTTAAGTATACGCCATGTGGAACAGCTTTTCTAATTTTTTGCTGAGTTATGATTCATTTTCAAATTGCAAAATGTAAACAATTTTCAGCTTCCACCCGATTTGTTTTTTAACTCGTATATATAATAACTTTTTGATTTCATTTAAAAACCACCAAAATAAAATACGTTTTAGTTCCGTTTTTCGAATTACATTTATTGTATTGCATGCGTAAAATTTTCCATAGCTTAAAATGTTGATTCTTGTTGGTTTATCTCTTACAATTTGTTGAATTTCTATATGATTTCTTATCGATTTTTGTTGATTTCCATTTTTTTTTCTTTTATTTTTCGATTTTTGTAATACGTTTTTTAGTTTGCTTTTGTATTTTTGTTTTGTATGTACATTGAAAGTTTGAATAAGTTGCAAGAGTTGGAGTTATCGTTAGAGTTAGAGTTAAAGAAATAGAGAGTTGATTTTTAAGGTACATTATAGTTGTTGAGTTTTGCACGTTCAATTTAAGTAGACAATACATCAATAATATCAATATATCAATATCAATGGAGGATCTAGAGTTGAGTTAAACTTTTGATATGTTTTTGTTTGTTGTTTATGCAATTGGCGTAGTTCGAGTTCGAGTTTGAGTTCGAGGACAAAATGTGACTACAAATTGCTCTTTGAATGTATATTAATATTAATATTAGTACATATATCATTTCGCTTTCTAATATATATATTTGTTGGTTTACGGTTAATGTACGCTTCGCTTCTGTATAAAAATATAAACAAATTAGAAATGTTCGTTGTCTTTGCTACTGTATATTCATTTTGGTTTCGGTTTTGGTTCGGAATCAAACACAAAGCGTCGATTGATTGCTTTACTTAATAATAAAATAAAAGAGGGACAGAGAAGAAAGAAAATAGGGGAGAATATAAACATTCTGCGGAGGACCTTCAGTCTTGCTTTGAATTTATATATTGCTTTGGTTAGTTACATCCTTTCGTGGTTTTCCATTGAGAGGGATCAGCATTTATAATAAGGATTTTCACACATAGTCTATTTACTTTGTTCGGTTTAGTATTTGAAGCTAGTCAAGTCAAGTTGTGTGCTGAAGATCCCTAAGAACCAAAGTGTGGGAGGTGTGTATCTCTATATACATATATATGCTATATAGTGTGTAAACCGAAATTGGATGGATCGTCGTCTTGGGGAGCGTTAGCCTAAGTTGAGTTCGTCGCACTGAGTTTGAGTTTGAGTTTTGAGTTTGATATGCTTGCGAAATGTTTAAACTTTTAGATAAGTGTGTGTGTATATATACTGGTATTTATCATTACTTTTGTTTAGGAATATATTTAGAAAATAATCTGGCTTAAAAATGCATTAAAAAAATCTATCCTTGATCGAACTTATGGCCTAGAAGTGGGGGGTGTGCACAAAGTATATAATAGTAATTTCTATACCTTTTGGGGGGGCAGTGCAGCTATATTAATTATAATTATATTCAACTAGAGTTTGTCTATGACGATTCCGTGACACATCGCGCCCTACAAACTAGGTCAAAATCAAAGTCATTTACAACGAATTTGATGCTCGACTTAGGGTCTACCTGATACATACTATATAATATATAAAGTGTATATGTGTTATATATATTATTTGCTGACGTTTTGCAGCTGATATGTTTCGATTTCATGGTTGGTTTACTCCGATATGCAACGCTGTAGTTCAATCATAGTCCGTGTACAATGTATATATATTTATGGTATATAGTATAAGTTGATATGCTTAGTTTCCTCCACTCGTCCCTTGACGTGATGATATGCACACATTTAATTCAGCCGACTGTTAGTCTAAATACATTTTTAATTACCTCGAAGTGGGTGCACTTCTCCCTCCCATCAGTGTTGCAATCATTTTCAATTTGTCCTATGCTTACTGGCTATAAAATCACATTTAGTTGCTTAATTAATTTTTATTTCCCGCACACTCACTTGCACACACACACACCAGCCCTTTTGGAGGGAGAAACACACACCACACACACACTCGTTTAACATATACATATGTAGAAAAAGGGGGTAAGATATTGCTTTTGCGATATGTATGTATATGTGTGAATGCAGGACACACATTTTCATGGCCTGATGCACACCGAAAATGCGTGTACAGTTTATTTAACTATATTTTCTTTTACTCCTTTTTTCACTCCTCTTTTTATTTGCTCCTTTTTTACTACTTTTTATTCATTTTTGCTCCTTGTTTTCACTTGATTCTCCCCCCTCTTTCCTGGTTTAAGGGCGGTCCTTCTGTGGCGTTGCGAAAATTGGAATGCAATTTTTCAATACGCGCGCATAATTGAACTGTCAGAGGAGCTGCGAGTTGCAACCAACGAGGCAGAAATATGGCCTCCTCCTCTCCACTCTTGCGCTGCGTTGCACACAAAAGTATGCAAAACGTAAAAGTTGCCTCTATTTTTCCTGCCACATGCTTTTCCTGCCTCTGTAATCCCGCCTCCTCCTTGTAATTAAATCGCCGGACCATTGACCACGAAGAGAGATTTATGGGCCAAGCTTTCCTAGTTCTGGTCCTGATCCTTGTCCCCGTTTTTATTCTTCTGGCCAGCCCAGATCCTCGCCCACCAGCTCGTAGAAGCGCTGATTGTATTCGGCAAAGAACCTCCTTAATCTGGAGACCACCACGGGATCCACATGTGGATGCTTCCTGCCCTTGGTCTCTCGCAGGCAGCGATCTCCGTTGTCATAGCGCAGGCAGTAGAAACCTTTGGTTTCATTGAAGTAAAAGTGCTCACTCTTCACCCGATGTTCAATGCCTAGGAAATAGAATTATAAAATAGTATAATATTACATTTAAATATCAGTTTACCCTATTAATTGTCCCCTCAAACTCACCCAAGAATGCCTCGATGCGTTTTAGCTGGGAAACCGGATCCTCGATGAGGCGGTCACCGTTGACCACCAGGAGTTGCTCTCGCGGAAAGACCTCCAGCCAGCGATGCAGGTGGACATGGTACATGGAGATGCTGAGCGGTCGATAAGCCTCGTTAACGGTGCCATTGGGAAATATGGCCAGCTCCTCGAAGGACCTGCAAAGAGGGGGGAGGTGAGAATGAGTTGAGGCTTTAAATCTTGGCCATGGCAAATTGAATTGCCAACAGCTGCAAATGAGCAGCGGGCTACTGCCTCTCCTTCTGGCTCCTCGACCCATGTTAAACAGAGTCCTTGGCTGTCCTGCTCCTTTTTCACCGCCCTCTGTCAACAAGTGAAACAAGAAAGTTTCGCCATCAGAGACAGGGAGTGGGGAGGCACAGGAAGGAAGGAAGCGAGGCAGGGTGCAGGAAGCCAAGGACAAGAGTCGCATTTTGGGCAACTTTCATTTGCAGTTTGCATTTCATTTGCATGTCAAGCAGGACGAAAAGCGGAGGGTTCAGTTCACTTCACTTACTTGGCTGCCATTTGGGCGGCGCTTGCCATTGGCGACAGAGTTGTCGTGGTCATCGCAGCTCCTCCACTAGCTCCAGCTCCTGCTCCTGCTCCAGCTCCCCTCCTAACCGAGGATGATAATGTCCTGCCTTTGGTCTCCCTGGCTCCTGCCCCACTGCCACCCACGAGGGCATTGTCATAGCTCCGGGCAGACTGCAGTTTGGCATACAGCAACGACTGCGACGACGACATCTTGGCAGCTGCATCACTGGAGGTGGAGGTGGAGATGGAGGTGGCTCCTCCACCGGAACTCTCCCGGGTGCTGGGACTCTGATTCGGGATCGGGGGATCCTTCTCGGCCAGGGGCAGGATGGCGGTGGCCGCATGGCTACGCAGCTGCGTATAATCCGAAATGGCCCGGGTCACCGGCTCCCGGACAATCAGGAGCAGCTTGATGCTGGCGTTCATGGCACGCACTCGTTCCGGGACCTGGAAATTCGAGAATATATTATAATTTAATATACCTAAACAATAACAAAACCCCAATCTTAAAGCCCTCAAAGGCACACTTTAACTAAAAACACATAAATTAATTGCATTTCCGCTTTCATAATTAAGCAATTCAAAAATATGTTTGTGTTAACTTTGTTAAATTTCCTCCCCCTCCCTAAAAAGTTAATAGTTTTTTACAACATGATTATATGCAAATAGCTAAAATAACTCTGTGTTAACGATGAAAACTCCAACAATTACCCAATTTGCATGGCCCAAAGAGAAAACTAAAACTGTTGTAATTACATTTGCCATTTCGTTATGAATAACGCAAAATAAATGCTAGTAAAAAGCTAACATTTTCTCTATTAAATTTTTGAGTTGAGCTTCGAATGTTATGCCAGGAAATTAAACGGAATTTCCACTCGTATTTTGTTGGTATTAAATTCTAGAAAAATGTATGTGCTTCTTTATTTTCAGGAAATCAAAATGCATTTTTTATTATATAAAATAGTAAGCAATGCGGCAAAATGTTTAAATTTCATGTAGTTGATTTAATGACGAATGTTTTTGGGAAAAAAGGAGATGAAAAGTTTACATGGAATAGCCTACAAATTAGCTTCAATTTTTCACGAAATTAAAAGGCATTTTCTATATAAATAAAAACCAGGTTAGAAATGCAAAAGCTCATTAAATTTTAATGACAATTTTGTGCAGTTTTCCTGGAAATGTTTTGCCAAAAACTGTACATTTTCCTCTTCCAGGAAAAGAGATACATTGCTCTACATTAATTCATGGAATTTAATATACATTTTCGTCAATGGTTCTCAGTTAAAAGAAAGTTGTTATAGAGCAACCATGCAGACATACATTTTTTGGCCAAAAAGAAAATATTTTGCTGCCATTTATAAAACTATTTTGCATGATTTTCCGAAGGTTTTCTGGAATCCTTTTTAAGGTGCCACCACTCTCAGTATCGGCTGCTGGTCTCTGGGGGCCTTTCCAATTAATGAATTTATGCTGGAACCCCCCTGACAATCGATAATAATTGCAAAGCCTGGGATACTGTTTAAGGTAGGAGGATGAGCCAGAGGAGGAGGAGGAGCTGGCTGCCTTTTGTTGGCTTTAATTTTGCTGCCACACTCCATGATCTTCGCCCTGCCCCTGCTGCTGCACTTCCGCAGCAAGTGTGCTGTGAACAATTTAATTAAGCCGGAAAATATTGCCGCACAATGTTGGCAGAAGGACACAGGAGGCGATGGCAGGAGATGGACGGAGCTGGCACACCGGAACCGGAGGAGCCTCCGCCGGGGTCCTTGAATTCGCCACGTTGTATAAATATAGCCTTGCAAATGGGCGAAACGAGCCGGATAAATAAACTTAATCAATTTCAATAAGGCCGCTGCCGTGCAACAAGTTCAAAAGTTTTTCCCTCCACTAAGTAGATACATTATATATATATATATATATTATATCTTTTTTGTTTCATGTCCTGCGATATAGCTTCCCTTGAGTACTCAAGCGTTTCGGAATTATTCACGTTGATGAACCATTTTCAGTTTGAGTTTGGCCCCCGGGAATATGCATTTCGCTGAATCTTTAATGCGGCCAAAATGCATTTGGTAACAGGATAGGGAGATGAGGAGACTCTGTCATATCAGAGAATCCTGGGGAATCGAGGGAAATCGGGGGAAACCGGGTTTAGGCCAAAGTACGCCATGGGGAGTTGCATTATTTAAACGCGGAATATGGGAGACTGGATAATGAGGAGCAGCATTAGCTGCTGCAGCTCTCTCAGCTGACTCAATAAATATTAATAAAGTCACTAATGAAGATTTATCTACGTCAAAGCTTTGGCCTTGGCTTTTGGGGGACCCCTCTCTCTATTCAATCTCCCTCGAAAACTAGGGACAAATTGAAACGCCGTGTGTGCGCATCAAGTGCCGAAAGCGAGGCAGTTAAAATTGAAATGAAACTGCATGAAATATGGCCCTGTCAGGAGGGATGCTAACCAGGTTTTCCACTCCACCCACTTTTCCCTGTGACACATGCAACTTCCGGCTCGCAGCGAAATTGCATCAGGCCGAAAAACCCAATTTTGTGACACTCTGCGGCCAACAACAAAAACAACACCAACTGGAACAGGAAAGGAAACAATATAGTAAAAAGAATGGTTCGGGGAGAGGGAGTAGAGACTATAAGGTACCTCGTAATCTGCTTTTTTATTAGGAACGAAAAATAATAATTTTAATTTAAAAGTTTTTTCTATAGTTATTCGGAGTATACATTTCTTCTCTCATTGCAAAGTTATCAATGCGTTTTTCTATAGCTGAAGAACTTTATTCAACTAGACATTTTAAAAGTAACATTGAAAGCAAGTAATCGAAATGAATTGGAATTAATTCTTTTAAATCTTTATAGCATACTTTACCGTACACATATATACCTCCTCTCCACACGGTTACACGGTACTCAAAAATAAAACCTGGCCCGAAAAGCCATTCTCAGTTGGGTGTTAGACGTTGCCGTTTGGCAAATGAATTTGCAAACATTTCCGCCATGGCTCCGACATGGACACGGAAATTGGCTGGGACATGGCCAGCGTTTCGGTTTAATTTGATAGATGGGCAAGGACGAGGGACGAGTGTGTTGGTACGAGGACCAGGACCAGCAGTCGACACAGTCAATGCCGGGCAGACAGTTAATTAATAATTACGGTCAGGCCGAGAGAAAGCCAATCCTAATTGCCAATTAGAGATCAAAGCGCAGGCCGGAAAAGGAATCCGAACCCGAACCCGAAACCGAACATAAAAAATAAGGAAAAACTAAAGGCTGGACTCACCTCTGGCGATACAAAGTAGCTGGGACTCTTCTCGATGGTTATCTGTCCGCGGAAGGAGTGCGGCATCTTCTTGCGATACCACTCCAGACCCTTCAGGTAGTTCTCGTCCCGGTCGAAGAAGTGCACCTCGCCGCCGGCCTTCTGGATCCTTGGGTGCAGGTAGAGCATCTCCAGCAGCGCCCGAGTTCCACATTTTCGCACCCCAATTATGAGGGCCTGTGTCCGGCCGGAAATCAAACCAAATGAGTGTTAAACATTGAAATTGTAGCAATTAGTTAAGGCAAGTTACACATAAACATGTATGTATATTAAATACTTGGGTATATAGATAGTATCTAAGAGATAAGTGAGAAATTGTTAAATAAACCAATAAACAACTAAGGTAATAATATATGACTTAAGATAATTATGGTAAGAATATTGAGGTATTCATTTGGTACATAAATTATATTAGATATGTCCTGCAATTTGCACTTTTTTACCCTTTACAACTTAGTTCATTTCCCCAAGTTTTTCCAGACTTACCTGTGGCAGCCGCCGACTCGTTTTGGGAAAGTGCACACGACTCGAGGGAAAGACCATGGGATGGCTTAGTTGATTGGAACTGGGCACTGGCTTCACAAACACCGGCAGATGATTAGAGCTACCTCCCGCGCTGGCAGATGAGGAGTAGGATCCGGAGGAGCCAGAGTATCCTGATGACGATGATGATGAGGAGGCAAAGGAGGAGGACGAGGAGGAGGAGGAGCCTAAAGCCGAGGCCGATGCAGAGGCGGCCAGGGAGAGGCGATGCCTCTCGTGGACAGCCTGGGCAGCTTGAATATTGTACACGGCACTATCGTACAGGACATGGAAGGTGAGGAACAGCGATATCAACATGACCGTAAGGAAGACAACGGCCAATTTGGGACGGGACACGCCCACCACCAGGATGCAGTCGGTGGGCGAGGCATCGGGACCAGCCGGTCGCATGGCCGATTTCGGTAGCCATCTAATTAATTCGAGAGAAAAATAGGAAGGAAAAAGAGAGAAAGAAGAGAGTTTATCGATTAGTTTGAGGTTTCGTTTATGGGTTCAGGTTTTGGGTTTTGGTGGCTCTTCTTACTAAGCTCCTGCTTCCGTTTCGGCTAATTAGATTGCCATTCCAACTGTGCTGAGTAATTAACGTTGTGCTGCCAGCGAAATTAGCAAGACGACACTCTCTGCCTCTCTGTCCTGTCCTGGCAAAGCCACCTGCTCCACCTTCCTCCTCATCCTGCTCCTCGTCCGGCGGCGCTTAAGCGAATTCCATTATAAACGTTTCCGCTTAGACCGCAACAAACACTGCCAGCATTATTATGAGCACCACATTGCAGCTCCGCAGCGCACACTAGGCGTATACGTAACGTGGCCTAATGGATGACTTCATTTGCAGCATGCCACAGGAGGCACACAGAGGGAGGAGAGAGAGATAGCTAGGTGACAGAAGGAGCTGCTCCTGCTGCTCCTGCTGCTGCGACTAAGTGCATTTTCATATACAAAGGGGACATGGCAGGACATGGCAACTGGTGGCTTTCCCCCACTTAAATTTCCCATCCTGGTGGAAACCACCCGAAACCCACTTGGACGAACGATGTTCGCATGCGACACCTCGTTAAAAGTAACGACGACACACTGTTCCCGGTCTGGAGACCCGCGAGGAGTCGCGTCGAGTCGAGTCGAGGCACTTCACTCGACGGCACCGTTTGTGGCAGTGCCCGGTGCAACCTCAGACCAAGAATCCAACCGACTTCCTGCCCTTCGTTGTGCCCACTTGCCACCTTCCACCTGCCACCTGCCACCGTCCACCGCCTTTCCGCCAGTTGTCGACACGCTTTAAGTTCTTTTTATATTCCCAGCGTTGTTTCCTTTTATTTTTTCTTAACCCGTTTTTGGCCCGCAGCTGCAGTAATAACACTGAGGAAAATGTAGAAAATTCATCCAAAAATATTCAATTGTAACAAGACTTTAAAGGCAAAAGCTTAGGTCTTTAAGAATCTATCAATAAAATGCTTAAAAATTGTAATGTCTTTACAACAAACTCTTTTTAAATTCTCTATTAATAATTTCTTATTAATAAATTTTTTGTTTTTCAAAGTGCACTTGGCTGGGCTGCGACTGGCCTCGTTTCGTGTGCCCCTAAAGGCGGCGGGTCGGCACTTGACTGCGATCTGCATAAACGCAGTGCCACCCTTAGGAGTCGCCTCCTGGAGACCATCCCCTGCCCCATCCCCTGTTAGCCTACAAATGTCACACACTTTCTGGGTTGCCTGACTGGCTGGTAGCTCCTTTAAGCCAAAATCCCCGTCGAGCGCAAAGCTTTAAAGACAGGCTCAGGAGCTCTAATCCTGACAAAACTGGAATAAGTTTCCTTTTGCCCGGCGCTAAGCATTTGAAACGCTTCATTTGTCCCTGTCGCCGGGCTTTCGTTATCCTGCTCCCTTCTCCACCCAGGATAAATATTTATAATTTTCTGATTCATTTTCCCTCCTCCTCAATCCCCTCCTAGCTGGGCTCAATTCAGCTTTTGCTGTGCAGCAGCGGAGAAAATCGAATCGAGCAAATGTTGTCCCGTTAAAGTTAATGCAATTTTCATTTGCGTTGTTAAAATGTAAATTTTATTAAACCAACCAGACGTGCTGGCTATCTGCTGGCAGGATTCACAGGATTGCCAGGATTCCCAGGAGATAGAGAGAGGGAGAGATGAGCAGCTATGGCTTGACCTTTTTGAGGTAGGCAAAGGGTATGGCAAGAGGGGTATTACTTTGGGGCATTACTTTGGACCGCTCTCTATAATTTTAAAAAGAAGTAACAGGAGAGGAAAATCAGGACAACCTGTACGCCTAAGTAATATATATATATATATAATTTATATCCCACAAAGTTCTCTGAAAAATGTTATAATTTCTACTTAAATATACCCTTTTTTAGAGGGTATTCCTTTGGTCTATGCTTCTGTACTTTAACAACCTGACCTGCCCTGTTGGCCTCCTTATCGGCTACGTGTGCTAAAGGGACCCCTTGGCAGGACCTGAATGATTTGTGGGCCTATACTCACAGGATATCCAGCGGCAATTTGACGGAGCAATCGCGCAGTGTCGCCTGATGTGGCTGCTGTCTCTGGTGGTATTGCTGAGGATTACTGTTGCTGTTGCTGTTGCTGCTGTTGGTGTTGCTGCTGTTGCTGTTGCTGTGGGCAACATTGGTGTGGCCACCGATGGTGTTGCTGGTGGTGGAGTGGCTGGTGCTCCCATTGCTGCTATAGTGCTGGTGGTAGTGATGATGCGGATGCTGCAGCAGTTGCTGGTACTCCTGGTGCTGCTGCTGGTGCTGCAGATGTTGCTGATGTTGCAGGGACTGTTGGTGTTGCTGTTGCACATTGCCATGGCTGCTGCTGCTGCCGCTGCTGTTGCTGCCCGCACGTCTTTTGGCGGCAGTCATCGAAGGAGGCGAAGGAGGAGCGTTGCTCAATGGGGCCCGAACTATTGCCGCTGCCGCTGTTGGCCGTTGCAGCAGCTAATTGGCCAATGGACGTGGCCCAGCAGCTGCAGCTGCATGGATGGTGGATTTATGGGCCACCTCAATGCCGTCGGGCACTGCCCTTTTGGTTGCCAGTGAGCCTTTCTTGTTTTTCTGTTTCAAGCTTTAATTAAATTCCCGGGAATAAAGGAATCTTTAGCTATTTTGTTGGCAAGAGGTATTCCACGTTGGTGATTCAGCTTCAGCTTCGCCGTTCACCGTTGACTGAACGACATATTGTGCCTCATTTTCGCATGGGCCAACAAAGCGGAAGCACTTTGCAGTAACATCATCATCATCATCATCGTCATCATCGTGATGAACAGGATTTGACCTTATTGTTGGTCGGTAATTAGATTTGTTGCTGCTCCTTGGCTCCTAGGGCTTGGCTTTTGTTAATGTTGCTCCTGCTGCTGCAGCTGCTGCCATGGCCATTGCTATTGTTTTCCAAATTCGACTTTCAATCCACTGAAAAGTGAACAAAATCAACGAAATAATCAACTTTTAGAACTGTCAAGGCTGTATCAAATAAATGCGCATAAGAAATACTTGTTCCACATAAAACTAGTCATTCAATATGTTAATAGAATACATCACATTAAATAAATACTAAATTAACCAAACTAACCAATAGATATTATTGGTTTACACGAGGGATGTACGTCGAGTATACGCATTATGTAAAATGAATAATAAAATAAAATACAGTAAATAACATTAAGTTGCTACCAATTAAAATTCAAAACAAATTCGTAAGAATTGAATTGGAAATTAATCCAATAGATTTGCATATAAACATTATATGGAAACTATTTGAAATTTTGTTATATCAAATTTATATAGAATATATAAATAAATATAGATATAATCGATTCTTGATCCCATACTTTAATTCCCCCAAAATCGAAACAAAACTCCAACACTTTTAGCATAAAATAAAATCCACTTAACTTTTAAACAAGGGATTAAATAAAACACCGGAAAAGTGGAAATTTAAATATTCCTAATGGAAATTCAAATCGATAGAACTCAGGGCACAAGGCTTAGGAAACGAAGCTTAATGTAGCATTGAAAATAGACCAAATAGTGGGATCTATGTTCTTGAAGTACACTAATCAAAATAATTAAGGAAAAGTGTCCATAAATTTAAAGGCAACTAACCATAACTACAATTTTGTAAGGTTAATTTTTATATTATTTTCAGTAAACTATAATAACCTTTGGATTATTTTTTAATGTTGAATTTCTGAATCGATTTTAGGTAAACAATTGTGTGAGTGTAGTCACATATTAATGGAGTATATGGTTTGGTATATAAAGAGGTGAATGTATCTCACAATTTCCACAGTGGGGATTTACACATTTGCGCCACCATGATATCGACTCTTTTGGAGGTCCTTCGGAGGGGTCCGAAAGGTAAAGTGAAGGCTGTTTGCTCTTCAGATAATTGTAGTAATTAATTTTGCATTTTTTCCACAGATCCCGTATATTTGCCTCTGTTAAGTTCACCTTTACCAGCAGTAATCATTATTCTAATTTATTTGCTGGTGGTTTTCAAAATCGGACCAGACTTTATGGAGTGCCGCAAGCCCTTTAATGTCAAAAGTGCCATGTTGAAATATAACATTTTTCAGATCACGATGAATGCGATACTATTTGCACTGGTAATGTATATATATAACAGATATAGATCAGGATTAAAAAGAACCCCTTTAACTTCACTTAGGGTTGCTACTATTTGGTTGTGAAAAATTACTTTGACATTCGGTGCATGGAGATATCCCTGGATGATCCGATTAAGTATGTCGATCGGGTGTTGACATATGTCTACTTCTTGAACAAAGTGCTAGACCTGTGCGATACCGTGTTCTTTGTCCTGAGGAAGAGCTACAACCAGGTCACCGTGCTCCATGTGTACCATCATGCCCTGATGGTCATAGCTGTTCCGACGACATACTATTTATATGGAAGCAGCGGGTCCTACGCCCTGATGGGGTACATCAACTCCTTGGTGCATGTGGTCATGTATAGTTACTACTTTGCCGCTGCCCTGTACCCGAGTGTTAGGAATAGGCTCTGGCTGAAGAAATCCATCACCACGATGCAGATTGTGCAGTTTGTGATCTGTTTATTGCATGCATCGCTCGTTTGGAGTCTGAACAAGAGTTGCTCCATCCCCGGGATAATGCACTTCGCTGAGATCGCCGTTGCCATCTCCATGATCGCGATGTTTGGAAACTTTTACTATCAAACCTATATTAGAGTCAAGAGCAAAAAAACGAACTGAGCATGAACAATTGAGTCAAAATTAAATCGAGTGACTCTCTCTCTCGCTCTCTATCTGTGTGTGGCAAATAAATGTGGGACTGTAGTTCAAAAACTTGAATAATACATTATTTGATTTAATTAGGTTAATAAAGCTGGCTGGAATGTCTTGGAGGGAGCTTAAAAACAGTCGCTAAGCGCTCCTCAGACCACAAGCAACAATCAGAACGATGGAAGCGTTTTTCCAGAGTGTTCTTCCACAGGCAGGTGCGACCCCTGCCACAAATACATTATACTGACTGACATATAGAGACTCTAACCACTCCCCAGATCCCAATCCCATTGTGCTGGCCGGTTCACCATGGCCCATTCTCACCATATTGGCGCTCTATCTGGTGTTTGTGCTGAAGCTGGGCAGGATCTTCATGGAACACCGCAAGCCCTACGACCTGAGGCGAGTGCTGATGGTCTACAACCTATTCCAAATCGCCTACAATGGCCTCTACTTTGGCGGAGTAAGTCTACGGAGCCATTTAGATGTGGTTTTAACAATATTTTTCCCATTATAGATCGTCTACTACCTGTTCTACAAACAAATCTGCAATCTGCGCTGCCTGGAGACCTTTCCGCAGGGCCATGAGCACAAGCAGGTGGAGCGGGTCTTCCATGCAGCCTATTTAATCAACAAGGTGATCGACCTGATGGACACGGTATTCTTTATCCTGCGGAAGAGCTACAAGCAGGTCACCTTCCTGCACATATACCACCACGTCCTGGTGGTCTTCGCGGGCTTTGCCCTGACCAGGACCTACGGCACTGGGGGTCACCTCAACATCCTTGCGCTGCTCAACACCATGGTGCACGTGATGATGTACTTCTACTACTTCCTCTCCTCGCAGTATCCCTCCATCAAGGGTAACATCTGGTGGAAGAAGTACATCACCTTGGCGCAGTTGTTCCAATTCACCCTGATCCTGGGATACGGGATCTATGTGCTATTTTTCTCACCCAACTGTGGCGTCCCCGTTGGCCTCATCTACGTGACGATGCTGCAGAGCGTCATCTTTATCTATCTCTTTGCAACATTCTATTTCCACGCCTACTTGCGTCCGGCCAAGTCTCCTATAAATAATCGAAAGTCTGAGGTGAAGCAGTCGTAGGTCCACAATAGAGCCCCGGATATATGTATATATAGATGCATTTACATATCCAATGAGTTCTGCTAGAATAATCGCTATGACGTCTGGTTCTGAAAGTGACATCCTAGAGGTCACTTTGAACTAATGATAATTAACACAAAGTGTTTTGGTCCTAAGAAGTTTTTAATGCAACTCTTTAAATCAATTGTAATGTTCCTTATTTTGGGTTACAAATAAAATTAACAAAATTGAAAAATTTCATGACATTTCTTAACAAACTTTGTTGACTTTTATACAGAATTATATTATAATATTTTTAACAACAAAGGTATAAAGGTATTCAACTAAGTATCTGCATAATATAAATATTTCAAAGAAAGTTGTTTTATTTCTACCTTAAAAAAATACTTCAAAAAAGTATATATATATATCCCTGTTAATATAAGAAAACACGCTTATTTAGATTTAGCATTAATGAATAATAGGTTTTCTCTAACAATGTATAATATTATACAATTAAATAAATCGCATAACAAGAATTGGATAATGGGATCATTAAGGTTTTTAACAAAAATTTCCAGAGACTACAAAATGCATTCAACGTAAGACCGAAAACGTAAGAATTGGTTTATAATTTATACCGTAAAGATATAAGAAATACAAGAAAGCATTATAAGAGAACCGATTTCTAGTCCATCCATATGGATGAGGCAAAAAACTGTGAACTGTCTCTGTAAGTTTACAATGTGAAATTCCGATGGCATTAAGTAAACAGCGCCTGGCGAAAGAAGACATTTTATAAAAATAAGTGTTGCTCTACAAAATCAATGGTGATAATATAATGGAAAAAAGTTTATAAAATAGGGGAGAGAATACACCTTAAGTTTTTGGTACGTTCAAGAGGAAAATCCTATAAAATCTACTCAAAGAACACCTCAACACCTTTTCCCTAATTTGATATACTCCCAAAGAGATACAATCTTTTTCTCTCTATCTTTCGTTAATCCTCGGCTCGAAATATCCTTGGAACACAGGACATCACACAAAGATGCGATTGGATGGCAAAAAGCCGGAGCCATTTAAGCATCGGCAGTGTGGAAACTGCACGCCGGAAAAACAACTCCGGGCAATCAACTGCACCCCGCAATCCTTTGCTTTTCTTCTACGCTTTTCTTTGCCTTGGTTTTCCTCCCCGTTGTCTCTGTCTCTGTTTCTTTTTCGTTTTGCAACTCGTTTGTTAGCGCGCTGGATAAGCGTCGCTGGATGAGCATAAGAAATGCCGGAGAAAGGACGTCAGAAGGGAAAGCTACTCATGTGCGTGTGTGCAAGCTGCGACTACACATAACAAGCTCCTTTAGCATCGTCCTTTTATTTTGTATTTTTTTCTATTTTGTTCACCAAGAGTCCTTGCCAGCTGATAGAACAATCCGCAGGCGTTATAACCGTAGCTAAAGTCCTGTTGCACAAGGCAAAAACCTAAGCCGGAAATTCACTGTAACTACAGAGAGAATACAAGTTTGTGGTAAACTTTGTTGGCAGTGAAGAGGAGTTTCTTTAACATTTTTAGTATTTTTAGATGGAAAGGGTTCTATTTTTACAATATTTATTATCCAAAAATATCAGTAATATCAAAAATGATTAGTTTTTCACACTCTAAACTGACTTGGAAACGAGTTTTTCAAACAGAAAACTTTCCTTTCTTTTCTTCTTCTTTCCCTCAATATCACATTTTCTCGCAGTGCTTATACAATACCTCTTGCAATATAATACTCACTTGCTGCAATTGTATTTACTGCTAGAGAAAACGAAAACAATTGCCGCAAATATGGCAAATGGCAATTGAAAAACAAAAGTCTCAGAGACCAGAAATCCGTTCGCCAGCTGCTGCTTCCTTCACACTTTATTCTACACTTTTCTTTTCACGCAGGACAAAAGGACAACAAAATGGCAACAAGGACTTTGGAAAAAAAAAACAGCTGCAAAGGGGACGAAAAAATGCACAAAATTGGCTGAGAAATGAACGAGAGACAAGAGACACCTCTTTTGTTGCACTTTGAGAAGGGAGCCAAGGAAAGGGCGGTGGGGTCAACACTTTGCCTTTGCCTTTGCCTTTGATTTCGGGAAAAGTTAAACGGAAATCTGCATAAGACCCTGAGATATTTCCACACGATTTCACCTATGACAAGGCGAATTGTCGAGTCTCCGACTGTTTCTGACAATTAAAAGAACGCTCGCTCCGCTCTGGCATAAATTACACAAATGCGAGTATGCAAATGCAATTTGTTCGATTAACAATGCAAACTTCAAGACCACTGAGCACTGAGCACACCAGACACACATTAAAGATATCTCAAATTATATGGCAGGAGCAGCAGTTGTAGTTCCAGGAGCAGGTGCAGGAGCAGGTGCAGGTGAGTGGCAAAAAGGACGAAAACATAGAGGGGGGGAGTGGAAACTAAAGGAAAATAGTCACATTCCTGAGGGACCTGACCTGGCTAGCTGCCTGCTGCCTGGGAACTTTCCCATAATTTACACTTTATCGAACGATAACAAACAACCTGCATAATGTATGACTCTCGGCTTTGCTCTGCACAGAGAGAAAAGTGTAGGTAATTTATGGGTTACCTTGGAGAATCATGGAAACTTAAATGATTTCTGCTGAAAATATTATTTAAAGAACACTTTTACCACAGTTTAAAGTCAAGCCAAGCCTTAATTTTTATCCTAACTTGAGTTGGGATTAACCGAAGTTGAAGATAATAAAATTTAAAACAAATGCTTACATGCTTTACAATTTAAATTCCAACTTGTAAACAAGTTTTTCCATAGTTTCATTTCCCATTTTCTTATCTCCCAAACATATGATATTCCCCCCGGTGTACGTATGTATCTCTCCCTTCTTCCAACATTGCTGCTCACCTGACTCACCTGCCTCATCTGACTCACCTGCCTCACCTCAGTGGGTGGTCAGTGGGTGGTGGTATGCTGGTATATATTACTCGGTTGCTGGGGTTGCTCTGGCATTGACTGGCGTTTGAGGTCACCTAAGGGTGCTGCGTATTATGGCAAACGCTTTCTTGTATGCAAAATGCCCGTCAATCAGAAATGCCACAAATGCAACTCGTTGCACCTTTTTGGCCAAAACGAGATGGGTATAGAGAGAGAGAGAAAGAGAGAGAGAGGTAGGACCTGTTAACCCACATTTACCATTTAAGCCCTGATTCCTCGGATTCCTTAGGTTTTGGGTTTCAAGTTTCTGGTGAGACAAAACCATTTACATTGGCAAGCCATAAAAGGAGGCAACCTTCTTCGTTCTCTTCAGCTCGTTTGGGGAATATGGCATAATAAAATTTTAATTCGTTGCGATTGATGGTATCCGCACATCTCCACATCCCCACACACATACTTCTCCACGCATCAATGGACGATTTTCCATAGCCAAGGGATTCACATATATTCATTCACATATAGATATATATATATGCATCCAATACATTACATTTTATAACCCCAGCTAATTTGCATATATGCAGGAATACATACATATGTATCGGCGGCGTAACATTGATTGGATTTGTTTGACTTTCGCACGAGGTAATGGTTGGGGATGGCTTTTTAGGGGGTTGTACGGATGGGGTCCTTCTGGGCTTGGGGCTCTGCCTGTTGGCTAAGGCTAAGTGCCTGACATTTGGCTAAATGGCAAAGGCAAAGGGCCTACGCCTGCCAAGGGTTTCACAGCCTTTTGCGGGCTATATTTTCCCCATTTGCCCAACCGAAAATTGCACTTGCCTCGTTAGTCGAAATGGCTCGGGTAATTACGAGTTGTTGGTGGTGTCGGTGGAATATTGCCTCCCACAGAACTCATCACTTACTTTGGCCATATAACCTTCAAAGTTAACTCCTTGCAGACGCAGTTTTAAGCCACAAAAAAAAATTTCATCAAATATTGCAACTTTGAGGTAGTTTATATACCCTCGAAAGGTATTTTAATTTCAGTCAGAAGTTTTTAACGCAGTGAAGGAATTATCTCCGACCATATAAATTATATATATGTTATATATATCAAAAAGCTGTCACAGAAACGATCGGAAAATGTTTATAAAAAAAATTATATGATCAGTAATTAACTATGATCAGTAAGTATTAATAAACATTAAGTAACTCTGAACAGTAAGCATCTATGATCAGTAAGTAACTGTGATCAATAAGTATCTATAACCAGTCAGTAACTATTATCAGTAAGTATCTATAACCAGTGAGTATGTATAATCAGTTACTAACTTTGAACACTAATAAACAATGACTTGCAACTTTTGTAACACAACACTCCTAAGACTTGGCTGGCAGCAGTCACTTTGTTCCGGGGATGTTTAAACCAGTTGGGAATCATATGCACAGAGAGAGATTTGTTTTGGAACAAATTTAAGAGCAAGCTATTATATATATAGCTGCCATAGGAAAAATCGGACAATTTATAGATCTACAATCAGTAATCAACTATGATCAGTAAGTATCAATAAACATTAAGTAACTCTGAACAGTGAGTATCTATGACCAGTAAGTAACTCTGATCAGTTAGCATCAATGAGCATTAAGTAACTATGACCAGTAAGTATCTATAACCAGTGAGTATGTATAATCAGTTACTAACTTTGAACACTAATAAACAATGACTTGCAACTTTTGTAACACGACACTTTTGTGATACTGGGCCGGCAGCAGTCACTTCGTTCCGGGGATGTTAAAACCAATTGGGAATCATATGCACCGAGAGAGATTTGTTTTGGAACAAATTTAAGAGCAAGCTATTTCAATGAAACTATGGATTTATTCTTCTATATAATTTTACTAATATATAAATCGGAGCATGGCTAAACGGTGGACTATGTATATATACATATATATATGTAGCTGCTATAGGAACGATCGGAAAACTTTAATAAAAAAAATCATAACTTTTTTAGTTCTCATCAAATTTCATCAAATTTGGTATATAGCTATAATATATTAATATAGAATTTTGTGTAAAATTTGATGAAAATCGGACTACTATATCATATAGCTGCCTTACAAACGATCGTTAAAAATAGAGAAAAATGATAAACTGTGAATGAAAAATATATATTTATATATTATTTGTATTGCATTAATTCTTAGTGGTCGAATTTCAATCTGCAAGGGTATATAAACTACAACGTGCCGTTCTTGTTAGAGGTAAATTAAAAAACACAAAACATTATAAAAGCTTTACTTTCC